AAATTGGAAACTAAAGAAAGTTTGAATGAAAAAATAAAGAGTTGAAAAATTACCATAAGTATTCAAAGGGAATTAAGAGCATAAAAAAGAACATCTCACAAAAAATAACGAGTTGAGAGTAAACTTAAACAACTCTGTGTAAATAAAGTCGGATCTATGAAAGAAGAGAGCTGTGAGGAGTCAGTCTAGCGTTTGGATTAGCGAGAATGAAGGACTAGCTCACCAGTGATTCGATGTCCGCGACAGTCTTATCGATGGAAGCGCTGATCGACGCCGGGATGTCTGACACAACGGTGCTGGTCGACAAGGAAGACGTAGACGATACTAAAGACATCGTCTGTGGTCACAACTCTGGTGGCTAGCAATGTAAATAGATCTCTGGTGGTTAACAATGTGAATAGACTTAGGACAGCGAAATCTACGAATTCGTGCGAGGAAATAAACGAGCGGAGTGATTGGTTAACAACCAACAGAAGGTATCTACAAAGAAAAACAACTCTATTTTTAAACGAGCCGAAAAAACTCTATCGATTTCAACTGTTGGGTTGAGAACGAGAGATAACAATGCATGCAATGACAAACTCATTTTAAACATTGAAATTAAAAAATGGATGAAGCTCTCGGCGTTGATCAATCTCTGAGGGATGCTTCATGCATTCGTCTTCACTAAGCACCGTTTGGAGGTGACTGAATGCATATCTGGCCTTTACAATGACTCGCGGTGGCCTACCGATGTATCGGTTCAGTGCTGCTATCCTCCCACACAACTCTGGTTTCAATTTGCCGACCCCGGAGAGATGGAAGGGTTGGTGGGCAATGAGCGCGAGAATCGATTCCACGTGTGTTGCAGGACGCCTCCGACCACTGCGTTACACGCGCCCCATAAAAATACTTTTCGATACCAAATTGCTGGGTTTGGAACGGGTAAGAACAATGCATGCAATGACATCTGAAACTCGCTCGAAAAATTAGAATCAAGGTAGCAAAAAATTGGTATAAAAATTTCAGATTTTATTTCGTGTTTAAGGCAATATCCATCAAGAAACCAGAAAATCGTCTTTTAAGTGCTCACATTTTACAGAATGTGAGTTCCCACTTGTTTGCCTTTCATGGAGTCACTTTTGTTAACTATCTGTTTCAATGGAAGACAAATGTTCACTAATCAACCTGTTTTTTCTTACATGGGGTTGATAAACATATTCATTTCGGCTAACGAGCCAATGATTCGTGTTTGTTGTATTTGTGTCTTGTTATATTGCGTGGGAACTGGGACGGCCCGTTTTCATTGGTTGTGCAGGCGCCAGCATAATTTTCATTCTTCGGAGACTTGCTGGTTTAGCCATTGTGGTTCCCTGGAGTCCTGAAGTTAGTTTAGCCAAAATCTGCCCCAGGTCGTCACCACCACAGGCAGTTGCCGCCCTTGTGGGTCAGGAGATGGTTTGCCACCATTCAACTAGTTTGATATCAGAACGGTGGCGGATACTGGTACTGGTAGATTAACCCTTGGCTAGGCTTCCCGATGGAAACACCGGACTCATCTTGGGAGAGCCTGCTGGAGAAATGAATCTCCTCGCTGTAAATCGCAGCCCGACACCCAAGAGCACCTCTACGCCACGATGAGGCGGTAAATCCTTTGGAGGGCCTTGAACCAAAATGCCCAAAGAAATACTTGTGCACGTTTTGTTATGTTATGTCTACAAACGTCTATATTTCTTCAGTTACTTCTCATTACATTTAGCACTAACACCTGAATCAGACAAGCAAAAACCCGATTCCCAGATATCTGCACTAGAAGAACCATGTCCGAAAAGAAATGTGTATTCACAGGTTTTCTTTTACTGGGTATGCTTCAAAATGCCGACAACAGTTCTTTAGCAACTGTTGAAACTCATCTCGACTCACAGAGTTGGGATCAAATACCTCTAGACTCACAATAAGAACAACTGTTTTAAGAAAAAGTCTGACATTGATTTTTTATATAGTAAGGAGATTTACACCGAAAATGGAAGACCTGGATCTCACGAAGTTCACGAATGTCAGAGCACTCATGTCAATGCAACAAAGGAGTTGTGTTAGAAATTATTTGACAGAAAAAAACCATATCAAACCTGTAGTGACCGATGAGGTAAGTGGAAGAGGAGAACATGACGAGAAAAGGTAGGATGAGGTATAGATGCTGGGTTGCGAGCTGGACACCTGAACTGAATGTGAGTGCGGCGAGGTGTAGACGTGGCTGTCCACTGTCGACGTCACTGAACGAGCTAAACACAAAGTTAAGGAGTACCATACATCATCTGCCAAAATCTACGTATTTCCCACGTAACATTACCATAATTCGACCAATCGTCAGCTGAAAGGAAGTACCCACATTCATTCTTGTTATTCAACTAGGACACGGAAGCATTTCCACAGCAGTAGAAAAGTTCAGCAATTTTGTAATATAACGCCTTGTGTCATAACCACTTGCACATAAATAGCTATTAATTAGCTTTCATTTACCAATTGAAAACGCCCTGAGGTTACAGAGTAAATCTCAGCTTCTCTGACACACCACTCTTTGCTCAAAACAAGCGTTACTCTTTCAAATACTCTTGCAGCATTCACATGAGATCACAAACGCAGAAATGATATAATAACTGCAGGAATAAAACTGTTCGCAAGTTCAACACGTTCTTCATGTGTTTCAAGACTGGTGATAATTTTTCGACAAGAAGAACAGATGGAGAGCTAAGACCTTCACAACCTTACGAAAACACTATGCTTAAGTGTGTGTATACTTACTTGGATATTGGATGCTTGAATGGCAGACCCTCACTGGATGTGCAAGCTCCAGCATAATTTTCTCTTTTTGGAGTTTCACTAGTTTAGCTACTGCGATTCCCTGGAGTTCTGAAGTCAGATTAGCCAAAATCTGCCCCAGGTCATTCATTATATTCTTGTCGAACAAACGTGAGGTGCTACTTTATTCTTTATTCAAAAACAAGCTGACGTTTCGGCGGATTTCGACTTCCTCAGAGCCTAGAAAGGTCAAGTTGACCGCAGTCTACCCCGCCAAACACTTCCATAACCAAATAGAGAAAATGTTAAACCAAGATTCCAATCACGTTGAACACAGAATGGCTTTATCGCATACCGCTTTCTATGAGTCTTCCACTGAAAATGTCACGTGGAGACCAACCGCACAGAGTTTAGATGTAAGCCTAATGCGCCTCTCACGTCAAAACAACAGTCTTAAATACTTCCCAATATCACACGTGATAATGAGGCACTCCTCCCTGCAGTTCATTTTCGTCGGATTCTTGGAATTAATCCAGAATGCCTCAAGAATTTTGCGTGTTTGTGTTTTCGACTTCTGTGCGAGGATCGTCACTTCTACTTCAAAATCTTCCCCGTTATGTCTCCGCGTCCTATGCGTGCCCAGTGGGGTACTTGGTTTAACTTTAAGAGTGCCGACTAGGTGTTCTTTTATACGAACGCAGAGTGGTCTACCCGTTTCGCCAATGTATTCGTCTCCGCACGCCTTACAAGAGATCAGATAAACTGGACTCGAACCCATGCAGTCACCGTCTCTACCGTTGGGGCAAATTATACAATTCCACGTTGTACATAGACGATCATACAGGCGGTTGTGAACTAGTTGGCTTTTAGAGTGCTCGGTGGTGTTTCGATTATTCTAACAGAATTCTCTAGATCGGCACTTCTTAAGCAGCGTGTTATAGGTGCACCTAGTTCGTTTGAGATGAAGGGCAGGATAAACGGGACCTTACTATCGCTAGAGTAACCGTTTGGGGACTTGCGCTTTCCTCTACACCTGTCCCGAGCAGCTACAGTTTCGTAGCCGTAGGAAATGGCTATTTCCCGCGTCAGGTTCCGGGATTCTTCCTTCTGCTCTCTTCCTGTATACACACTGGGTGGCTGTTCGAAACATGTTTCTTACAAGTGCCCTTTTCGTGTGAGTGAGAGGAGAGGTAATGAACCAGGATGATTTTGCTGCTTGGATTTCGGTACTTCGTAATGTAGCCATCCATTTTCTGACAGGTTAATTTGGACGTTCAGGAATGGAAGCCAGTTTTCTTTCGGTTTCTCTCGGGTGAACTTGATATAATCTGACTGTTCGTTCAACAACTCGAAACATTTGTCCATTTCCTCTTGTGTTGAGCAAAGGACAAAACAGTCATCTATATATATCTACAGTAGAGTAGCGGCCCGAGATCGGTCACCGATGCTTCCACCTTAGACATAAACGCAATGGCAAGTCTTGGTGCCAGTCGCTGTCCCATTGCCAATCCTTTTATTTGAGCCTAGTACTTTCCGGACCACCTGAAGATTGAGCGACTCAGGCATTCTTTTAAGAGTGCCATCACCCGCTCTATCTTGAAGCCATACATTTTTATTTCTCCTTCGTGTTATATAAGGAGTTCGAATATGGATTACATTGCGGAGTTATTCAACACGTTTGTATAAAGGGAGGTAACGTCGAAGGACTCCATCACGTACGAGCTGTTGGGTTGCGCAGTACGTAGACGATCCAAAAACGTCTGGGTATTCGTAAGATGGGCTGGAATGTGTTTCAGCAACTGGGTAAATACTAGTGTTAAAACCCATGTTATCCTATCCGTTGACCCGTCTACAGAGCTAAGGTCGTCACTATCACAGGCAGTCGCTGCCCTTGTGGGTCAGAGGTTTGCCGCCATGCGACTAGTTTGATACCAAGATGGTGGTGACTCTTGGTATTGGGTTACTCTTAGCAGGGATTCCTGATGGAAACGCCAGACTCTTCAGTAAACCAGAGTTACTAGAAATTCATATATACTGATTTAAACCTGAAAGCAGACAATTCCAACACTTTTAAACAAGTTCATGCAAATTTTCATTCCTTCTTCAGATGCCGAATTTACCATTTCCAAGTGCAGGCTGCAACAATGACGAAAATATAGAAATTGTTATTGAGAGCGTTCAGAGATCTTTTCGGTCAAATTGATATCGCTATGAAAGAAAAATTATAAATTCCTAACAGAAGCCTCACTGTGAATGCCTGGTCCCAAACTGATGATTCTATAAGGTGTAGTTGAGGTAGCTGATGCTGCTGAAATAGTCGGTGTGGTGTGCGACAGTGCCTTTGGTTGCTCGTACATCCCGATGATCAGATTCGCGACTGAACGGGCTGTTTGGCGTTTCTTCTCGCGGGCTGAAATAGTGTCGGTGAGTATAAAAATGGGTATAAACAAGGAAAAACCAACATTAGACAGCCTAGATCCGTTTGTGAATTTCATCATCACTCTAGGATCTGATGGTTTTTAAAGGAATGTCTCTGCACTAATTAACTGGGTTCAGTGATAAGCCAAATTTAATCCAATTGTTCATATAACGCGTACGGCAACGACTACCATGAAATAATAGCAGATGAGGATTTCATTCTATGCCGGCAAGTTTGTCCCACCAACTGAGCAGTCTGAGTCATCGAGGTCCGAGTAGCTGGTAGACCGGGATTGGACATAGGACCGTGTAACCACAACCGAGTTTTGCTATACTCTTCGCTGTATCTTGTAACTCTTTGAAATGTAAGCAGTTAAACACCACATTTTGGCGAAGATAGGCAAAAACGTACCGATCATTCGACTTTCGCTATTTTCAATAGTACCGTCACACTCATCTGCATCTTCAGGAATGGTGTACACTGGTCCGGGCCGATGGCAGAATAACGACTGCGTTTGATAGAACTGTGCGGCCTGACTTACGTCCACTTCCTCCATATCGACAGACTGAAAAGATAACAGTTATTACTTTTGAACGCCATCTGTTCACAGAGTGCAAGAGGATGAAGTCTTCGGATCGACATTATAATTCCACAGCATCAAAAATATTTTCAGATCCATTGCTCATTTCCTCACTCAAGGTGAAAAATTGGGAAATGAGGTCACAAAAGTTTTCAACCGACTTTCATTGAATGCTGATCTCCCTGACACTCATAACAATCGCTTGTGAAGTGTAAATGAGAATTACTATCAAAATCTTGTCTCTGGAATCGGAAGTCCTCACCACATCCTCCTCCTCTGGTGACTCGAGAAACGGATTCTTCCTTTCGTCTTCTCGGGAAATCTCCAAGGGCTCACCATGTTTCTGAACGTCACGTATTCATCGCCTTGTTACTAGGTTAGAAAGAAAGACCACTTTTCAAGATGGAAATTCTTTGCAACTTTATAGAAATACTACTTCAATGAGCAATATAATCACTATAACCAACAATAACATATTCGCAATATAGTGTGGTTGATGGCCAGCCTTTGTACAGAGCTCTGATTACTATGAAGGGAAAAAAGATTTCAACGTCATTTCTGGAGACAATGTGAGAGGTGTTGGTCAAAGAGTATACAGAACTTCTCTCTGGAAAAGTTCTCTACCTTCCTAGTCAATAGTGCATAGTATTTGACGTCCATATATGGCCACCTCGCAGTCGCACATCAAACACCGCAATGTAACCAGTAATCTTCTCGGTCAATTATGTTCAATGTTTCAGGTACAATAGCGATTCCGGTTTGACTTCAGTAGCATCCCCACGATGGCTTATCCGAAGAAGAAGGCGTAACAGTGGAACAGTTTACTACTTCCTTGCGAAACAACGAAGCTAATGACGTTTGATGTTTCAAGGAGTTAGGTACAGTCTATTGCGGTCCAGGATCAACAATCCAGATTAACCGTGGTTGCATACGCACGCGGCTACCGTAGCCAATATAAGCCAGGTGCCTTTGACGGCGGAGACATGCCATCACTCACCTTACCCCCGATCGGTAGCGCGGATAATCCGCTCCTCACAAAATCATCCTCAATCACCCTCAATCACCTCAACTCATTCTTAGTCATACTCATTCAATCTCATTCAATCACATTCATTCACACATTCGCATTCAACCTTCAGTAATCAGCAGATCATTGTATCTCGTTTCTCACCTTGTCTACGGTGTGATGGCAGTAGTGGCGGGTGTTTCCAAATGCGTTCTGTTTGCAACGCCATCGGTGGCATGTACCATTCTTCCCACAATGTCGTCATGCGTACAATGCCGCTAAGCAGCCAACTTATGCTATGTATTCTGCTAAGCCGCTATAGGCTTATCAGTTTTGTAGCCATTCAACATACTGGCCCTAACCCTTAGGCAATGGTGACACCCATCGATGCTCAAAGTTCGCGTTGCTGACAAAGTGTTATTCACGACCAGCCGCCTGACTGTATTCCGTAGATGACTTATCGTTCACTGTCCATAGCACCGTCAACGCTCATGTAACTTACAGTCCTCATCGATCCACTAAAATGCTCCTCATCGCTATAATGTTGAAATCTTAGCTTGGCCGAAACACAGCCAGTCTGTAACCCTCACCACCTCAGCATACTGTCTCCCTCTCCGCGGCATACAGTCTCCTTTCTCCGCCCCTAGCATACTGTCTCCCTCAGCCGCCGCACCGGCCGCGGATATACACGGCGCGGCATCGCTCACGGCTAACCAGCGGTTACTTCTTTGTAATCATTCATTATTACTGTTAATATTGTATTAATGATATAGTAATATTCGAATGCCATTATCTCGTTGGTAACTCACTTCACTACTAGCCTTAGCACCTTAGAGCTTTTTAACTTGCATCAGTCCTCTGCCATTACTTCTCTATTGTTACTATTATGTTATTAATGTTGTCTTTATGTATTAAAGGCTTGATTACCCAAGTTTGAGGCTAGAAGATCAATACAACAACTGAAAGACCCACGTGGCTAATATTCTACATCAATCTGAACAGCTACACTCCACCGCTAACCATTTCGTTACAAAGAGGGCTTTGCTCCGCAGGTTATTTTTGGCGACCGCTAACCGATGATCACCTGTATCACCTATAGTCCCATTGATCGTCGAGTGACTTGATCGGGCGAAAGTAAATCTTTATTTTTCCCTGTCGCGTGCAAGAGTAGCCCAGTGGGTTTTTTTTGCTCGCTCTAGGGACTCGTTGAGCATCATACTTTTCTTCCAGGTTTTTCGTGAAGAATTCTGACCATCGGGTCGGTGGTCTTCTTGCAGTACGTTTGACATGCCGAGAAATCCATTCACTAACGGCTCTTGTCCATCGGCAGTCGTTCATACACATCACGTGTCCGGCGAACCTTATCTTCGACAGTATGACGTCTAGAACCGCACCTTCGATTTTTGATCGTTCACGCAGATCGGAGCTTCAGGTCCCTTTCCTTAGTTGTGTGACACGGGATACTCCTATCATCGTTCTTCGACTGCGCGCTCAATAAACACTGAGTGACTTTTCATCTTGATTACGCAACGACCAGGTTTCTGATGCACATGTTAGAGCAGGAAGAATCGTGTAGTTCACGGAGTCCAGTGTTTTTTGTTCTCTTCACTACATCCTCAATGCTCTTGAAAGCTCCCCAAGCCGCTCGTTTCCTTCTACTTTACTCTGGAGCGAACTCGTTCATAATGTTGATTTTGCAATCTAAATAGACATAACTGTACCAATTGGAAATAATCTTTCTGTTGAGCCTGAATGATGCATACGTAACCAATCCATTCCCCATGAACATCGTTTTTGTGAGATTTAGCCGAAGACCAATCTTTCCACAGGCTTTATCAAAGTCGTCAAGCATACGTTCCGCTTGGCTAATGTTTAGTGTTATAAGGACGATGTCATCAGCAAAGCGAAGATGGTGTAACTGCCGACCGTCGATTTTCACTCCCACACTATCCCTTTCCAATGTTCGAATGACGTTATGGAGGGTGGAGGTAAATATTTTTGGTGAGATGGTATCGCCTTGCCTAGCTCCTCTTTTGACGTCAATGTTAATATTGTTGTAGAATGGTGATTCCTTTGTTGTGAAATTTTTATACAGCTCACGAAGAATCTTTATGTACTGAGTTGGGCCACCTAAATGTTGAGGGCTTCTATGACTGCTTCTATCCGATTTGACTCAAAAGTCTTCCTTAAATGGATGAAAGTTAGACAGAGCGTCTTTTGTACTCTCGGGATACTTCAACGAGGCCTGTTATCGAGTGGATGTGGCCCATCGCATTGAATTTTTTCGAAACCCTGCTTGCTCACATGACACTCCTTCGTCTAGTGTTGTGTTAATTTTCTGTAAAACTACTCGAGTGAAAAGTTTATAGAATCAACAGCAAGCAGATTGGGTGATAGTTGCCGATATCGTTGAGGTTACCCTTCTTAAACAGTAGAACGGTCTTGCTGGTCTTGCAATGTGAATGTGCAAGGGACCTTGCATTCAGACAGGCAACGAGTGAGGTGCCGAGCCAGTGTGTTTATGAGGACTGGCGGAAGGTTCTGTAGGTGTTCAGATCTTATCCACTCCGGTCCTGATATTGTTTGATTTTCCACTGACGAAATGGCATGTCGGATTTCGGGAGGGAGAGTACAACATATTCATCTTCCTTTATTTCATATGACGGAAGGTAGACGTGGCTATCGAAGAGATCTGAGTACTATTTGTGAATGGTTTTCTCCATTGCCTTTCTGGACACTGTAACTATTCCGTCTGTGCGTTGTAGTGCAATCATCCTGGTCTTGTAATTAGCGAAGCTTCGGTGGGCTTTGCGAATGGTATTCCCAGCCTCTGCAGCTTCGACCACTACTGCTGCTCTTCTCTCTTTGAAATCTTCTTTGCCTGTCTGCATTGTTTTGCAAGTTTGGACGTCAGTTTGCGATTGCGTACAGCTCGTGCGATTCCACGCTGGCGTATCAGCTCGAGTTTTTCTGGAGACAGGCGTCTTTTGGTGACTTTCGAATTCTCAGCTAATATGAAGATGTTGAATGAGCCGACCGTATTCTCCATCAGTGTTATCGAGAACGACTTCTTCCCAACAGCCGACTAGTGAATTGAATGAGCACCAGTTTATGATGGTCTTGGGATTTCACTTTTCGAACTTAGTGATTTTTTCTCCTTTCCACGGATTTACTACGGTGTGGTATATTTTGTTTTGGTGCTCCCCACTGGGAGACTGCCACGTCTAGTGCTGAAGATGGAGCTTCTGGAATTGCCAGTTACCATGAATGGTCATGGTCGTCATGATAAACTCAGACAGCCGCTCACCCTGCTCGTTCCCTTGTAATCCGTCAGTTCGAATGTGCCGTTCTTCATACGTTCTTCTGGGTCCAATCTTAGCGTTAAAATCTCCAACGAAGACATTGAAGAATGTATGGTCTTCTCTGTAGAATTTCTCCAAATCCATATAGAACGTTTCGACTTATTCTTCTTCATAGTCTGATGATGGTTTCCCAAAATATTTCAAGATTTCTGGGTAATTCAGTTTTACAAGCTGCGCATGAGCCCTTCCTAAGGCTCTGTTGCATTTGAGAGGTGCTTTTTGATTGGAATCAGCCAACTTTTAATGTTCAGTAGCACGGGGTCCGATTATCACATTGGAAGCGGTTTGCAAGCGCACATAGAACAAAATTCCTACGAAATCGGATCAACAACGGAAAATGACGTTCTGCTCGTGGAAGACTGATTTCAGTTCCGCATGGCTCATCTTCTATGAAAGGGCATTCGTAATGTGGCCGAATCTGAAGGTTGCAACGGTTAGAAGTACCAACACACTGCAGAGTGGTAAGAAATTCCGCGCATACTTTATTTACAGACGCTTTAGCAGTGTTATCCTGCGGGAACTGGTAGTGAATTATAGAGTAGCGATTTGATGGTTAAGTTGGAGCCACCGTTGCGAAACTAATGTGTGAAGCGGGGTTATATTACCAATTAGGTGGAGTCATCGAGGACATTCTACATTTTCACACAAATCACTTCATTATTTCGTAGAATCTTGTAACTTTAGAAAATTTTGTGAAATTTCGCTAACAGCCGTATATTCCCATAGGCCGGAACTAACTTTTGGTTTTACTTTGCGCAACGTCGAATTAAATCCTCCTCAAAAGACTTCTTAACGGAAGAAATTTGAAGTATCATTTTAAAATTTTCCTCCGACGGCTACTCCCGCTAATCATTACGACTGTTTGTGGACTGAGTTAAGAAGTGGGTTGAGCAGAAGTTAAACAGAAGCCATAGAAATGACAAAAATAGAGATCGAAGAAAACGGAAATGTGAGCGGACCTGGTTGGAAAGCGGACAGACTTCGGATGCGATCTGTGTAAGTGTTTCTGTAGGAGCTTCTTTCACCTGCAAGCTTCATCTGTTCTGTGAGTTTCAACAGTCTGCATAGGCATGAAGACCGTTCATTGTAGGCGAAAAATTTGAGCTCAATCATCCACCATACGTGGAGACAAATGCGTTGATTAAAATACAAACGAAATAGATGCGGGAAACACTAGTAGGTAGGTATTTGTATTATTTCTAGTGCTCACGCCGTGCTTCACCTGAGCTTTCTGAAGTGTTGACTTCGCCCACTGTACATCAAATTCATCGTCAGCAGCTTCGCCAAACGCCTGGATTTGTTGCAACACCTAGAGCAATGATGAAGTCTAACATGAAATGAAAACATGACAGCAAAGGGATCATTGTTCAAGCAAACGACGAACCAACGGACCTCTTTACCAAACTGTTCTTGTTGTTCACGTTCTTGTTCGACTTCCTCGTAAGTAGGGGTTGGAGCTATTGGAGCTGCCACAACCTGAAACTCGCGAGCATGTTAATTCGAGTAGCTGACTACTTCGACCTTTAACTTCTTTCGATTTCCATCTATTCATGTTTATAAAAATCCCACCAAATAGTAGTACAGCTTATGGAAAGGCATCGTGTCAGATGGAAGTATTTTACAATTTCTCATTTTCTTGTAGGGTGCTTTAGGATATAACCTAGATCCAAAGTTTTACTAGGATATGGTGATATAAACGATCACAATAATCCGTTGATTGCTTCAATAACAAAGTAGAGGTGTTTTTTTTAAACTCAAACTTGGAAGTAAAGCGGCTGACTAATCATCTAAAGACAAGAAATTGAACACATAAAATCACAAAGGTTCCGGTTCCCAACTTTTCTTCCATTATATGTGGAAACAAGAATTTCTCACGGAACAACTCGAAACATCTCGAACAAATTAAACAGCAAGAAAAAACCAACAAACAAGTGCTAAATGAACAAAAGCGAAGAATCGTTATTTAAAAGAAAACTTTTGTGTGCAACTCGAGAACATTCTGCTTTTTGATCTTTCATGTTGTTGCCATCGATGATGTTTTGTAAAAGGTGGACAAAGATGAAGCATCAAAACGCTTCTCGGGACAAAATCCGTACCAGAAATTGTCATAGTAACGGTGTTCAGATAGGACCATCCACACTGATGGAACGAACAACAACAATAAAGAAACATCGTCAGGACGCCAACAAAGGAAACCAGGACCTGCAGCGCCGCAACCAGCTTGGCTTATCCGAAATCGGTGGTATAATCAAAATTCTTTTCTGATGCAATAAAACGCAACGCCACAGGAAAGACCGCCAGAAGTGCAACAGCTGAACGAAATTGGTGTGGAACACTGTTTCATCCGGTGAATACATTCTAAGCTGGCTTATTAACTATAAACGCAACAAGCAAATTTTCAAACATTTCGATAACTGTTTGAGGAGGAAATATTTCAGCTACCAAGACACCGCTAGGAGCACCTCAGAGATTGGCGACCTCGTAAAACCTATAAATTAAGCAATGGCGAAAGGTAAAGGATTAACACTGTGCACTTTTATTAACAATGTTCAGCATGCGTTGTACTCAGCCTGTTAAGTCGCTCTTGAACGGCTTGCTGACTCACGATAGGATTCGCGGCAGCCGTCGGAAATCGCCGTCCTCGGAAAAGTCCTAGCTGAAAGACAACGAGTTTTGCTCCAATCTACAACAGTTGGTGCCTTCATGTGGTGAAGATATACGAACGCTCTACAATGGTTGCGTTGCCTTAGGATTCCAAGAAAACCAACACTCGACGGAGATCGATGCCGAAACCTCACACGGACCCGGTTGATTCCATAGATGCCGTTGGCAAGACAGTGATTCGTTTCAAAAGAACGATTACGTATATTTTTTTCAATTTTACATGACCCGCCTTCATGTCTACTATGCAGATCCCAGCACTTCTCACATTCGATTCGTTTCCTCGCATCCATTCTCCGCGAAGATCTTCCAACTTTACTACGTGCGGCTTCGGTTGCCGCTTGAGGATTCTCATTTCATTTTAGAAGTCGTAGAAAGCTGGTCGAGCAATTCTCCTTCGAGTCCTGAGATAGTCGGGCTGGGGCGTTTCCAGTTAGATTGTAGAGAGTAATTTTTTTCCAGACAAGTCCGGCACCAATTTTACCCCGGAGAGATGAGAGGCTTGGTTGGCCCGGAGCGGAATAGAACTACCACCATGTTCGTGATGATGGACATCACTACCACTGTGCTGTCCGCTCCCTGTACATATATATATATATATATATATATATATAAATGCGTAAACATGTGTGCACATATACATATATATATATATATAAATATAAAGCTGCCTCCCTAAGTTTTATTGCCGCACCGTGGCTGGGAGATGTTCACGGTTACCCGACAGATGTGGAGTGGGGCATTCATCCTTCAATAGGGTCTTTCAAGCTGAGAGGGAGTCTCATACTTCCGCTCGGAAGCCAAACCATGAGTAAACCAATACAAGTAATTACCACCCACCTGATATTAAACTAGTCGCAGGGTGGAAATCTCTATGTGAACCATACGAGCCGGTGACTGCTTTTGGCGGTGAAGACTTGAGGAATGTTTCAACTAAGCCGAACACCACGGGATTCCGAGGAATCACAGAAACACCAGCAAAGCTCTAGCCTCAGTACAACGTACACTGGGCGTTGCCATCTACGACTTAGTGAGGTGAGACAACCGGTGAGAGGGTATCAGATTTCGGGTGGCAGAGGAGGACAAAACGAACATGTCCATGATACGCATGGAGACCGCTTCTTGCTCTGCACCTATAACACCAGAACAGTCTCTTCAGACGTCCACCTTTGTACTCCGTGAGGACACTGGTCGCATGATATTCCAAGCGAACACCCTATAAGAGACAAAAAACGGGAAGAACTACAAATGCCATTTAGATCACGGAACCCTTATCATTTGTAGAGGAAATTTCCATTATGAAGTGCTGGAGGCGCAGGCTTTGTTGTACACCTATCTATTTCCTATTTATTCACCCCATAAGAAACTCTATCACTGCGTCTGGCAGTTCCTTATCTCCAAATTGTGCATCAAAAAAAGTTAGTACCATGACAGCAAGCAGAACACGTAAAAACAATTTGAGGGAGTAATCCACAATGAAAAATCGTATGAAATCGTTGCTGGAGACTTTAGTGCCAAATTAGGAACGGTTAACGTAAATAAATACAGGACAGGGAAATTTGGAGCAGGAGGGACGAAATGAGAATAGAAGCCGTCTTGTAGAACTCCTGTCAACAGCACTTCTCTTTCATGGGGATTCATTTTTCAAGAGTGGAGAAAAATGCCGATAGACACGGAAGTCTCCTACAGACAGTAGTCATGTGGAGATCGATCGTATCCTCACGAACAGAAAAAGCGCCTCTTTGACACCTCAGTGGTACCTGAGCTCTGCAATGAATCTAACCACCACATTCTCCGTGCGAAGATTCGATTCAGCCATAAGCTGGAAAAGAACTCCACTTATTATCCAGGAAAAACGAAACAAGTTATGCACGACGAGGATATTCTCAATGAAATCCTTCCTTCACATGACTGCCAGATAAAGGGTGGCCTAATCGATAACTAAAAGCTACTTGCTGAAAAACTTAAAACTTGTACCAAATTCATCTAAATTCCTCTGAGGTTCATACCTCATGTCCGTTACCACAGAGCATTGCTCTAAAAGAGGAAACTTGAGCTTGATATTAACGTAACACACTTAACACCGCTGATAATAAATGCCAGCTGTAGAAGATCTCTGTACGAGAATTTACATCGGTAGAGGCAAAAAAAGTTACTCGACGCACATCAAAAACTATCAAATTTGAAGTGCCGGTGGGATCTTTGCGACTATGATGTTCCATAATCCGCCTTGATGGGCTGTTATTACATCTCGTCATGATATAGAATTTCTTTTACGTTCCACAATTCCAGTGTGGAAGCCCGAAATCGTAGCTGATGAAAAACCGCCGAGGATCTCACCCTCCGAAGTTCGTGTTACGAAAGAAAGCCTGAAGAGTGGTACACCTCCAGTACCCAATAATATCGCATTTCCTTAGAGCTGGAGGACACAAATTACATGCACTTTTCGCTATCCACACGACGTCTTAACTTAAGAAAGAAAAAATCCCAGAGCAGTGGAGGACCTCAACCATAGTCATCTCTCCCCCCCCCTCGGAAAGAGTGACCGAAGGAATCTTAACAACTACTGCTCAATGTGCTTGTTGAGTGTTTACTCCACAAGCTGTTAACGATGATTATTCTTTTGTGCATATCGACGACCTTGAACGACGAACAATTGAGCAAACAAAATTCCGACAGATTTTCCTGCACGGACAACATCCAAAACGTGGGAGAGTTCATGACACTCCGTTGGCAGTACCATATGCTCCTTTTCCTAACCTTTAACATCTATGAGAAAGCGTTTAACATTGTTGAAACGGGTGCAATCCTATCAGTGCTCGGAGGCCAAGGACAGCACCCATTCTGTACACGAAGACCATCTGAATGTTATAGGAACTTCATTATAAATCCAAAGGAAAAGCGGCTCGACGAGGCGACACAATATCCCCCAAAGCTGTTTACTGCCTTATTGTGGCGTATAATGAAGGCACCTCATTGGGACGAGAAGGGCATACGCACTGACGGAAAATTCTTATGAAATCTTTGTTCCACGAATGAGATCAACACCTTTTCGAGTTGTACGAGTGAAGCAGAGACGATACTCAGTGATGAACTCAACGAAGTAGGAAAAAAGATTTAACTGTGCATAAATAGGACCTAGTTCACGAAGAACCAGTGGTGCGAAAGCAAACAAGCTAAACTCGATTGTTTTTAAATTACAGAGACTGCCTCGTACACTGGACGCTGAAAGAACATGTAGACCAACATAAAGAGGAATTATACAGAAGATAGACAGCAGAATGATCCCCATTCGGGATTCTCGAAGAAGTCACTAACTAGCTAACGGACCCGAAATTCTGCGTTCACCCTTTCAACTCACAAAACCTCCCTGAATTATGCTATGAAGCAGGATGGCCGGCTGATAGAAAGCCAAGTCAAGAAGGTTGTGCACCCCCCATAGAGTAGTTGAACGATGCTTTTGGTAATTTAAATGGTATTCACCACGTCCAGCAACATCTGCATTCGCAGATGGAAACGCTTTTAGGAATCCGAAATCCGGCACGGAGGTGATAATGCTCGAAACAGACCACCATCACGAAAGACGAGAGAAACGAATACAAATAGGGCCTGAATAGCCAACGAGCCATCCGAGTACCCAAATAAGCAAATAAATAAACTTGCTCACACGTTGAATTTGACGGTTATTCTAGTCCCCTATTACAACTTAAGTGACAGATCTTGTTCTGTAGTAGCAAAGAATCCCTTCACTTGAGACCCTTAATAACAAGAAAGCAACCTTGTCGGGGTAATCGTCGTCATCGTCGCTGCCGCTTTCTTCATCCTCATTGTCCATTCTTTCGTCATCAGTTGTGATGGTAATTTCAGGAGTCGGTCTAGCCACTGGGGCCACCATTGAGGCGTCGATTGCCATCGTGGTCTGCAACATGGTAATGAAGAAGTGGATTGCTAAACGAACAAGCGAAACTGGAACAAAATTACCGCACCAAGTAGTTGAAGATAAGAAACAAAATTTGAGAATAACGATAAATTTTTGTGGACGAGTGCTCTTTGCAAATGCCCCACAAAATTCAGAAACTAAGTCTTGTTTTCGTCCAAAGTTGATATAGCATAGGAATTTGCACCCTTTCCTTCTCCTGAACGACCACGCTACACAATAATAAGTCTGAAAGCTGCCGCATTTTTAGCATTGTTTACATATTTCCTTCTCACCCAGGATTTCGTAGTGGTTCTTGAGCGAGCGGCGACCCTCAATGATGAAGGCCTCAGTGCTGTATCAAACTCATTCTCCTTCTGAACGTAGTCGGAACTGTCATCTTCAAATACACTCTCATCATCTAAAATATCAAGGTCGAAAAATATGTATATTCCACAATATATTTCAGAAAGCATTAAATTAAGAGGAACAACTTAACCCTGAACTTTGTTGCTGTCTATAAAATTTCCAGACTGCAGATTTGCATATATTTGCAATCATTCATGTTCCAGTATCTCAAGGAAGACCGAGCGAAGGATTCGTCGCCGAAAACACACCTCCCTCTGATCCACATAGTGGTGAGGACCTGGATACGCCCTTGCAAGGTTACGTCAGGACTCCAAGGAGGACCAAGTTGTACGACCAGCAATAGGCCAGCCTCAGTTCCCCTCACACTGGGTGCTCCCGTCCATGACGTCAGGCGGTGAGACGACTGGGGAGAGGCTAGAAAATCTCGGGGTTACGCAGGACGTCATTGGAACCGGATCTGACGAACACACGCACGACACGCCATGGAGATTGTTTCTTACTATGCACGTATAATGCCAGAATACTCTCCACAGACGCCGATCTTCACGCCCTTCTTGTAGCCGCAGATCGCATTAAATTTCATGTGATCGCATTACAAGAAACAAAAATCAGGAAGACCAACATTCGCCAACTAAATGATGGGACCCTTGTAATCCGTGGAGAAGAGGTCCCATCACGAAATGTCGGAGGCGTAGGCTTTGTCGTCTACCCGTCAATTGTCCATTTCGTCGACTCATCCAGTATCTCAAGGAAGACCCTAATTTCCCCTCGCATAGCCGTCCTCCGTCTTCAACTGTCGCATCACAAGAAAATCACTATCATCAACTGCTACTCACCGACCGACGTCGCTGATGAGAACGAATTAAATGTGTTCTACTATCAGTTGGAGGAAGTCATCCGCAACGACAAAGCATATCATAAATTTGTTGTTGGAGACTTCAACGCCAGAATAGGAAAGGCCAACGAGAGCGAATACAGGATCGGAAATTTTGGATTAGGAGAAAGAAATGAGAATGGGAACCGTCTCGCAGGACTCCTATCAACAGCACGTCTCTTCCATGGGAACTCGTTCTTCCAGAAGAAAGAAAGCGGCCGCTGGACATGGGAGTCTCCCAACCGCATGATTCATGCGGAGATCGACCATATCCTGACAAATAGAAGATGGTGCCTATTTGACACATCGGTAGTCCCGTCATTCTGTACTGGTTCCGATCATCGCCTTCTTCGCGCGAAGATTCAATTCAGCCGCAAACTGGAAAAGAACTCTCTCCATCGGCCACGACGAAAAAGTACAGCTGTATACAGCGAGAACACTCTGAATGAAGTTCTATCCAAACGTGACTGACAGATTAAAGAAGATCCGACGGAAGACAACGAGCTGCTTGTCGAAGGATTGAAAAGCTGTGCCGAATTCGCCTCAGCTCCTCAAGCAAGAAGATCGGATCGCATCTCCATCACTACTAAGGAGTTCTTCGAAAAGAGAAGGAAACTGAAGCTTGATCCTACTGCAACACGTTTAACATGGCTAGTAATAAATGCCAGCTGCCGAAGAGCTTTGAAGGAAGATCTACGGCGGCACAAGAAGAGGAAAATACTGGAAGCAGCAAAAAAAAGAAGCAGCCTGAAAAAATGCCGTCGGGACATGTGTGATTATAATGTTCCGCTGTCAGCACAGATGAACGAAGATGGGATCGTCAAAAACTCCCGCCATGATATAGAAGTAATAGCGAAAACGTTCTACACCGACCATTTCCGTTCCATAATGCTCTTCCCGGGCCCTAATATCTCCGCTGGAGAAAAGCCACCTGGAATTCTTCCGTCGGAGGTTCGAGTTGCGATAGAAAGCATGAAAAGAGGCACAGCTCCAGGACCCGATAATATTACTGTCGATTTCTTTAGAGCTGGAGGCCACAATTTACATGTACTTCTCACAAACCATATGACAGGCTACCTTCAAAAGGAGAAAATTCCAGACCAGTGGAGGACGTCGCGCACGGTTATCCTACCCAAGAAAGGAGACCGAAGGGACCTTCGTAACTATCATCCCATATACTTGTTAAGCGTACTCTGCAAGCTCTTCACGAAGATTACCCTCGCGCGCATATCAAGGACATTGGATGAGGCGCAACCAGCAACCAGTACCAGAGCAAGCAGGATTTCGAAAAGGATTTTGCTGCATTGACCACATCCAAACCGTGTCCAGGGTCATCGAAGTTTGTCGGGAATACCACTTGTCTCTAGTCCTAACCTTTGTCGACTATGAGAAAGCGTTTGACAGTGTCGAAACGAATGCAATCCTATCAGTGCTCGTCGAGCAAGGAGTGGAGCCGTCCTACATAAGGACTGTGTCCGACTATTATCGGAACTGCACTACGTGAAAATACAGCTTTTCCATCGACCTCTTACAATACCTATAGCAAAAGGGGTTCGACAGGGCGACACAATATCGCCAAAGCTGTTCAGTGCCGCACTGCAGTGGATAGGAACTAGATAGAAGAAGGGGAGCAGCTTGGGCCGCATTCGGGCCTCACCAAAAAGCCACCGACCAACTGAAGGACCCGAAAATCCGCGCTCATCTTCTTGATTCTACGGTCCTCCCAGCGCTCTGTTATGCTGCAGAGAGGTGGGTTGATACTTCAACTACGTCAAGAATGCTTCGCACTACTCACAGAGCGCTTGGGCGGTGTCTTTTGAAATATAACCGGCGCTCTCAATATGAAGCCGGAGTGCGAAACTCTGACCTTCGAAATCTGTCACATCTTCGAGATCCAGGAGAATATACATCGACGGCGAAACATAGATGGGCCGGTCACATAATGAGAAGAGCCGACGACAGATGGACGAAAAGAACAGTACAGTGGACTCCAAGAGAATGCAAACGTCCCTTAGGACGGCCACCTACACGTTGGGCGGACGTGTTCGTAAACAAAGTTAATCAGTTGTATCCGCAACTGCAGTTGTTTTACAGATCACGGTATGAGTCTCGCAATCGCTGCCATGCTCGAACAAGACCACCACCATGGACTACGATTGCAAGAGAGAGGAACGAATGGCATATGTGCTGGGGTTCGCATAGCTCGTGAAGACGGACCGCCCAAGTATCTAAGTAAGTAAGTGTTCATGTTCCGGTCTATTTCTTTAGGATTTTAGTTTTCTAAATTCGATTATAGGCTTTTCAAGTATAAGAACTTGTTGTCTTGGTCTGCCACCTCATTTTGCTGAGAGGTGTCCATGCAGGTACAAGGGCCACATGCCGTGGGCGTTAACCCTCTGGTTGAATCTCCCAGACTGAGGAGTTCCAGATTTGCAGTTTGCAGGTCAGCTAGAAGCAAAACCACCTTTGTATACTTTCTAGCTAAAATATTGAAAATGAAAGGTTTCATACGCAAAGTACAACGCCCAACGTGTCACCCAAACCCATTGAAGTGCTCTGAGGGGCGACATGAACGGATGGACATGGAAACCGGTCATTTGGGATTACAGGTGATACAGGAAAATATCTAAATAAGATTCAATCTGTTTAAATGCTTTAAATAAAAGTTTTCCTTCAGCTTTTTGCCTCCCTTGGACCCTTCTACAGCTCTCCGAAAAGCTTCCAAACCAACAGGTTCGAATAAAGCTAGGAAATTATTAACGTTCTCCTTGAAACAGAATAACGAATTAGTGCAATCAGAAACGAACCTGTAGATGAATGCTGTTGAAGGACGTCGTCGTATGAGGGCTGCTCCGATTCATCACCTTCGAATACCGTAGTCCACATTGGCATTCTAGCTCCTGACCAATCTGCACTCTATAGAGAAATAACTGCATCCAAAATTCTAACACATATGATCATTTTAGGAAGGGAAGGACTCAAAAATTGATCAACGGCAAGGTGCAGGAATGAGAAACCAGCTTTATTGAAGGAGTCTTGATGTCTCACCTCGCGGTTGTATAAAGAATCGTTCATTTCCACAGCATCCACATTGATGCCAGACTCATTACACACGCTGACCGTGTACCTAAGTGTAAAGGTTTATTACGCAGCATATTTTATTTAGAGCCACTGAAGGTATTTTTAAAATAATTTGAAACTAGAAGACACTTTAAAAAGGTGAAAAAATCATTTCCAATATTGTTTAGCCTTGGTACTTTCCCTAAACAAATGTCTCCACATAATTTCGACTTTAACCCAGCGAACTTCTCAGTGTTGGATAAAAGCGCACGTACACTCATAGGAAATTGCAGCGATAAAAAGTGGATCTTACGAAGGGGAAGACCACGACAGCAACAAGAAACAAACGCACGATGTTTTCGACTGTAGGCTTTCGTTAACAAAAAACCTTCTCAAGCGTTGACTTACTAATTACTGACTGGTTCATGAAATTCTATTGAAATCTGGTGTAATGACTCATTTATTACACGTTGTAGTCTCTTATAAATGGCATATTACAACGATTACTCACTGCGAGCCAATGAAACATCATTCTAATCAATTACGTCATCACCTCCATTACGGTTTATTTCCTCATCAGGTATGTTGGTAGTCCCTGTTGTCCAACTATGAGGTGCACAAGAGTTCATCCTACAGCAGTATCACTTTAGATTGTCAAAACACTAACATATAACAGTCGGGTGAACGATGAGATAGGGGCCACTTCCCTTAGGAACTTCTTCAATCGAAGGTTATCGATTTGTTCGAACAATTCACAACCCGAATCGGTCGTTTACGATTAAAGAAATGTGAGCCAGCTTTGACTTCGTCGTTTACGCGCCGACATCAACCCATGACGAGGAAGAAGTCGAAGCGTTCTATACGGACTTGCAAAAGTTCTCTAATGAAGACCATACATTCTTTAAGGTCAACACTGGGGATTTCAACGCTAAGACTGGACCAAAAAGAACGTCTGAAGAACGTCACTTTGGGACCTACGAAATAGAATGGAACGAGCAGGGTGGGTGGATGTCAGAGTTCACCATGACGACCAAGACCGTTCATGGTAATTCAAAATTCCACAGTCCGAAAATCACCATTAACTAGGATTTAATCAGTTCATTAGTCGGCTGTTGGAAAGAAAAGCTGAAGGCTCGACGGTCACCAAAAGATATCTTTCTCTAGAAACAATTGACCTGATACATCAGCATGGAATCACACAAGCTAAAAATAACCGCCAGCTCACGTCCGAACTTCCAAAACAATGCAGACAGGCGATAAAAGAAGATCTTAAAAAGGTAAAAGCAGCAGTTATGGTCGAAGTTGTAGAGGCTGGAAAGAGCATTCGCAAAGCACACCGAGGCCTCGCCATTTGTAACAACAGTGACTGCACTCAAACGCCCAGACGGAACAGTTGCATCTTCCAAAAAGGCAACGAAAAAATCATTCACGATTACTATTCAAATCTCTTCAATAGCCACTTCCTTCCGTCCTTATACGAAATAAACGATGATGGATATGTCGTACCACCAGTTCTCACTTCCGAAATCCGACATGCTATTTTGTCGGTGAAAAATCGAATTATACCAGAACTGGACAGGATAAGATCTGACCACCTGCAGAACTTTCCACCAGCCCTCCCAAACACACTGGCTCGGACCTTCACTCGTTACCTGTCTGAATGCAAGGCCTCTACTCATTGGAGGATCAGCAAGGCCATGTTCAAGAAGAGTAACAACTTCCACGACATCGGCAACTATCGCCTCATCTGCTTACTGTCTGTGGTCTACAAACTTCTCATTTGAGTCGTCCTGAACAGGATCGGCAGAAGACTGGATAAAGGATAGCCATGTGAGCAAGTAGGGTTTTCAAAAGGCTTCAGTACGATGGGCCATCGCCCTAGCTTATATCGATCCAAGGAAAGTTTCTGACTCAGCTGGGATAGAAGCAGTCATGGAAGCCCTTGATAGTCAAGGAGTCCCTACTCAGTATATAAAGATTCTTCATGAGCTGTACAAAAATTTCACAACCAATATATCACCATTCTACGACAATATTAACACTGACATCAAAGGAAGGGTTGGGCAAGGCGATACCATCTCGCCAAAATTGTTTACCCAAACCCTCGAGACGCCATGGGAACACTGGAGTGGGACAACATAGGAATGAAAATTAATGGTCGACAATTAAACGCATTACGCAATTACAATTACATCTTCGCTTTGCTGACGACATCGTCCTTATAAAACCAAACATCAGTCAGACGGATCGAACGCTTTCAGACTTAGATAAAACCTGTGGAAAAATTCGTCTTGGACTGAATCTCATAAAACGATGTTCACGAAAAAACGATCGGTTTCGTATGCACCATTCACGCTCAGCGGAACGACTGTCTCCGAATGCTCCAGTTGCGTCTACCTGGGTCAGGAAATCCACATAACGAACGAGTTGGCTCTAGAGTGGAGCAAGTGGAAAGGAGCGGCCTGGAGAGCATCGAGGATGTGGTGAAGAGAACAAAGAGCACCCGACTTCGTGCCCACCTTTTCGACTACACGATTGCTCCTGCCTTAAGGCGTGCATCAGAAGCCTGGTCGCTGCGTTAGCAGGATGAAGTCACTCATCGTTATTGAACGCGCAGTCGAAAGGACGAGACAGTGTGCATTCGTGTCACACAAGTGAGGGAAGGGATCCGAAGCTCCGACCTGCGTCAATGATCAAATCGAAGATTCCGTTCTATACGCCAAAATGTCGAAGATAAGGTGGGCCGAACACGTAATGCGTATGACAACCGATGGACAAGAACTCGCTTGTGATTGGATACCTCGCTGCAAGAATGCCATTGATCTGAAGGCGGAAATTCTTCACAGAAACGCTAGAAAAAAGGCACGATGCTCACGAGTTCCTAGAGCTAGCAGAATCCACTGGGCTACTTTTCCACGCGACAGGGAAAAATGGAAGATTTGTAGGAGGCCGCTCGAGTCACTCGACGATCAACGGGACTTTAGGTGATAGAGGTGATATAGGTTCAGTTGTTCCCCGTGAATTATCGAAGTTTCTGTCTTAACTACCTACTATTTTTTAGCTCACCGCTAGTTTTTTTAAAATGAACGCACGCTGTCAAATTCAAAAGGGTACACAATGAGACGTAACAGTTAAACATTCCACATTAGTAGTTCCATACGTACCTAATTTACTATACGTTTCCCGGGAAACCACGCTTTTCAATTCCAAAAATTATCAAATATACAACAGAATTAGTAATCCAGCAAAGCAATCACTTTTCGTCATCGAAGTTTTCGCTGGTGATCTCGGCAAACCGCACGTCCGAGTAGGTGAAGTCGAAGTCGTCCCGGCGGTCGTCCGCCCGTGAGTCATTCCTGGAGTGCGCCCCCTCCCGCACCTCACTCGTGTCGTCCAACAAGTCGTACAGTTGATCTGTCTGCATGATAGGAGAATGATAACTACAAAATAATGGATTAAAAGCGAAAGCGTTTGTTCCACTTCTCATATCAGAGAACACCGCGTTCCAGCATGCATCTCCTGTATTCGAAGACAACGTCAATACGTTTCACGCAGCTATTGCTTACCTTTGTGGCGAAATCACCTAGTTCGTGGTCGTACGACGTCGATGTCGTACCGTATCCAGATTCTCTTGTAGGCGATACCGGCTCGAATTGTTGGCTTTTCCTCTCCAAAGTCTTAATTTCGTCCTCATCTCGATAACATTCCACTTTTCGCGGTGCTAGAATAATTTTTTATTGCTCAACTATAAGATGCAACAACATTAGGTTGATCATCTATCAACATTGGTAAGCTATTTGAAGTGATTTTTGAAAAGTTGCTTTATTCAAAATTAGGAGCTGCTCAACATCGATTGCTTCTACCAACTGAAGACTCATATCGCATTCTCACGGTTAGGAAGGTGTCTAACAATACGTGCTTTGAAGACTTCCGTCGGCTTAACTCAAAAATAATGATGAAGATAAACTCAAAGTTTTTGTTCCACGAATTCTGAGATCCGCAGGAAATTTACAACGACATTATCGACGTATTCTACGTTGGTAATGGGTCTGCGAAAACGACTAAAGAGCTTCAAGTCCGAATGTATAGATTGAAAAGGAATGGACGACGTGAAAAGCGGAAAAGAGTTTGGCGTTAATCAATCCCAGATGGATACATCCGATTCCGTTAGGCATCGCGGAGGTGAATAAATGCAAATCTGGCAAGTACTTGTGAGGACCTACCGATGAATCAGGTGGTTTTCATCGCCTTAGACAAGTTTGGTATAAATTTACTCTATCTAGGAGTGAGAAGCGGCATACTTATAATAAGCTCCGTGACATATAAGGAATTGTAGGGTCAGTCAAATAGATGTTACTGTTGATTCAGTTCTATATGGACATCGAACCATAAAAGTTGAAATAATACCACCCTGTTGTAACTTTCACTTGCTGCCTATTCATTTTTATGGTAGGGTATTAAGTGAAGTACAACCACGAGAATGCTGAATCATGAGGAAAACTCGGAACCTGAGGTACGCGTCGAACCCGCGATTACCGTTTCCGGAGACTCACGTGCTATCCACTGCACTAAAAGAGGCCCTCGTTTTGCCTTTCTCTCAGCTAAATTTTTACTTTAGCCTTTCAGTTATCTCCTCTCAAGGTTTTTGATCGTGCCGAATTGAGAGTAAGCCAAGAAACCAGGTCTCGAAACCATGTTAAACTAAGAACTGCTTACTTCATCGTAGTCTTGAGAAGATTCAATTGCTAAACTTGCGGAGGCGGTATGACAAAGGTCACTCACAACTTTCACTGAGACTTCACCAGCGCACAAACACAAACACATATCTTCACATGTGTTTATATTATTGAGCTTACATGAGGTTGATAATAAGGTTTATTCGGTGGACACTTCGACGTCTTCATCTTCATCAGAACCGTTGAACCGAGTCGATGGCCCATAGTTGTTCGTGTCCTCGATGTGGCGTCTTCGTAATCACACCGAGACGGATCTTTTTGTCATAGAACACCGCACGAGGCATGCTCACCCAGCAGTGCTCTTTTATACAGAGCGGTTGTTGTTTATAAACATATCTTCAAGCACTTTCAAGGAGAATGGACATTTCTTTAAAGCGATTCTCCCTTTCGAACCTGACAAACTGGTTGACAAAAATCTGTGCGAAATTCGGGCCAAACAGGACTAGACCCGAATATCTCAAGGACATACTCTTTAACCGCAACTGCTTATTAACATATTTATTTATGTGATCTTATAAACTGATCTTCTTAAGCTGACGCGAGGTTGGTACAGATCTTCAGATCTTGGGTAGTTTCCCAAAATAATATTTCAGACGAAAGTAAGATCCCCTTTAAGCTGCCCTTCATATCAAATGAAGTAAGTCACGCCATTAAAAAGTGCTTAAGAAAAAGTGGTCTTGAAAATTATGTAACGATTATTGACATCCCACCCAATACCCTACGCCGCCAGTTAGTTCGAAACCGTCTCTATGATCGTTTGTGCAGCTCAGAAAACTGTATGATTTGTCTTAACGGGAGAGACGGGGATTGCATGAGTTCAGGTATAATATACTTGATCTCATGTAATGCATGCGGCGAGGAATATATCGGGGAAACGGGTAGACCACTTTGTGTCCGCATAAAAGAACATCTAGATGGGAAAGCTAAAATCCGTTTAAACACCCCTCTAGGTACGCATAGGGCACAAATGCACAACGGCGATGATTTTGAAGTGAATGTGCGGATCCTAGCGCAGGAATCAAAAACATCAACGCGCAAAACTCTTGAGGCGTTTTGGATAAATTTCAAAAATCCAAAGATGAACCGGAAGGACGAATGCCTCACTATCACGCGTGACCTGGCGCCCTATTTCAAAATGATATTTTGACCCCGGAGCGTGTCTTGCTCGCGTNATTTCAGACGAAAGTAAGATCCCCTTTAAGCTGCCCTTCATATCAAATGAAGTAAGTCACGCCATTAAAAAGTGCTTAAGAAAAAGTGGTCTTGAAAATTATGTAACGATTATTGACATCCCACCCAATACCCTACGCCGCCAGTTAGTTCGAAACCGTCTCTATGATCGTTTGTGCAGCTCAGAAAACTGTATGATTTGTCTTAACGGGAGAGACGGGGATTGCATGAGTTCAGGTATAATATACTTGATCTCATGTAATGCATGCGGCGAGGAATATATCGGGGAAACGGGTAGACCACTTTGTGTCCGCATAAAAGAACATCTAGATGGGAAAGCTAAAATCCGTTTAAACACCCCTCTAGGTACGCATAGGGCACAAATGCACAACGGCGATGATTTTGAAGTGAATGTGCGGATCCTAGCGCAGGAATCGAAGACATCAACGCGCAAAACTCTTGAGGCGTTTTGGATAAATTTCAAAAATCCAAAGATGAACCGGAAGGACGAATGCCTCACTATCACGCGTGACCTGGCGCCCTATTTCAAAATGATATTTTGACCCCGGGGCGTGTCTTGCTCGCGTGAACTACGTGTCGGCCAGTCCCGCACATAACATCACGGTGAGTGACCTTTCTGTTCAATATGGCGTCTATTTGAAAGTTTGATCTTCATTAATACTTTAACCTTCTTTTCCACCGAATAATAAAAAGTATTCTAACATAAAGTACGTCCAGGCTCTGAGGAAGGCGAAGTCGCCGAAACGTCAGCCATCGTTCAATAACATCAAAAAAAAAAAAAAAAAAAAAAAAAAAGATCTGTACCAACCTCGCGTCAGCTTAAGAAGATCAGTTTATAAGATCACATAAATAAATATATCAACTATCTATGCCGAGGTTCATAGAAAGTCGGTCTTTCGAGTTATTAAGAGATGCTTTTTAACACAATGTGTCTCAGCTTTCCATGCGTTACCATTCGTAATTCAATGTTTGAAATTAACGAAAAACTAGGTTTACTTGTTGTTGCAAATAAAGAGATACCTACACGATTCGTTTACCCGAGACATCTTCAGTAGAACAGCCATCCGAACAAGCAGGGTTTCAGAAGGAATTCGACACAATGGATCACGTCAATATAATGATAACTCCCACGACCGACTTTCTATTAACCTCGGCATTGATCAAGTAATTCTTCGTATTTTTGTTGAGCAAACGCGAGGTGTTATTATTCTTTATTCACGAATGAGCTGACGTTTGGGCGGATTTCGCCTTCCTCAGAGCCTGTCCACTATTCTCCTCCAGAGGCGGTCCTCCAAATACTGAGCACAAAAGTTTTCCTTCGTCTCGCACTTCTTCCACTTGGCGAACATCTGGTTTTGTCGGCTTCGTAGACAGGTGCGTAGTATTCGAAATTCGATGTCCAATATTCGGTGACTGTCCTCTGGTACCTGTACTATACTACCTGTCAATACTACGCACCTGTCTACGAAGCCGACAAAACCAGATGTTCGCCAAGTGCAAGAAGTGCGAGACGAAGGAAAACTTTTGTGCTCAGTATTTGGAGGACCGCCTCTGGAGGAGAATAGTGGGCAGGCTCTGAGGAAGGCGAAATCCGCCGAAACGTCAGCTCATTCGTGAATAAAGAATAATAACACCTCGCGTTTGCTCAACAAAAATACGAAGAATAATGATGACTGTTTCACTATCACTACTATCTTACTAGTATCTCACTCCTTCACTATCGTAAATGAATAAGGGACCACTTTATATCACTTTCGTTAACTTAAAGTATGCATTCGACTCAACTGAAATAAAAATGGTCATAGGACAAGAATTGAACAAGAAGTGTTAATATCTTCCCATTAAGCACACGAAGATCTCTGATGGGCTATACAGCAATTTCAAAGCTACAATTTAAATGCTTACTTAAAACCAGTGACTCAACAAGGCAATACCACGTTTTCTAAATTTCTCACCATTACTTCCGACAACGTAAAACTGAAGTGGTATAACAAAGAAGTGGAAGTCGACCTAGACCATATTCGCGAGTGATTCACCTTGTGAACAGAGAAGAAGAAGCTGGAGATGCTAACAAGAACATCAAAGATGTATTGAAGAAAACAAAGAATGCATGACACCAACCCATACTGCGCAAATGAAAGGGAAAATCTGAAGTTCCAATTCACGTCGACGATTATCGATCATGTGTAAAATAAGGGGGAAGTAGGCAGTGAGTCTTAACGATAACTGCAAGAGATAATAATACGTGACTTGACAATATGGCACTTCAAGAGCAAACCAAACTCTTGACACACGACCAGTACTATTGAGTGATCAGTGGGAGGAGAGACGATATAAATATGACCTATCATCGGAAGGGCTTACGAAAAGTTTTGTGAGTAGGAGTGGTATAAAAAGCAATAATGTATCATATTATAAATATATATTAGAAGAACAGAACAGTAACTACTAGAAAGTTCCGCAAAATTATAAGCAACAAGAGTGCAACATTGTACACAGCATAGAGCTCCAGCAGTTGCAGGTTGTGAAAGTTAGGCAAAGAATTATGAGTTGTGTCCTAACGAGAAAAAAGTCACAGCTTACTTTGTTGCCTTCTTCTTGCATCTGAATCGTCCATCTGAGCTAATCGCATGACAGCTCTTATCTGCTCCCTCTCCGCCTGTGACAAATGCGATAGATCTACGGCAGGTAAATCGTCGTCTACCGTATCTTGATAAGAGATTTCAGTAGGTTTTTCTGAAAAATACATGAAAGAACGGCATAAGTAGAGATACGGTAGACATCAAACATCTAAGTAATGTAGAGGTAGAGAACTTTGTTCAAGAGCAGCATCCTTTGACGATCTTTTCTCCCATGACGCATCGGCGCTAGACAAAGCAGGTAATGAAACAATGTTGGAATCCATTGCATCAGCGGAGGACGTTTTCCTGAAATTTCAATGCGTCATTAAAAAACTTCAGACTCAAAGAAAATGGAGAATGCTAATTCATTCCCCATTTCTTGTGACTGAAGTGTCCAAAGGTACATACAGCAGTTCAACTATTGTATAAATATTCTCTACGTCTTCAACAAAAGGCTTTGGAAACATATATGGATAGTCAATATTTGATTACTGAATTCTTTCAGGAAAGTTATCGAAGCGTAAGCGGAGGCGAGTTCAGGACCGCATAAAGACATTTTTCTAAACTCATTGTGAAAGAGATGAATGTCAGCAAAAACGAACAAACCGTTGTTCTCCGTCGATGATGTCACACTCCGTAGTCGTTTTGGATTGAACAACGAGATCTTTACGTTGCTCTGGTTGAGGACTGACAAGTTTTACTGGAGTTGTAGAAGTTATGGCCTTCCCTTTGTCGACAACCACCAAAGCCTTTGTCTGATTTTTTATCGGCAAATTTCCAACTTTCTCTTTAGTCAAAGAAGCACTGAAAAATGTCTATAGAGCTCCAAGCAATAAAGTTCAAAAATAAGTTAGAGGTTTTGTTCCTGAGACCAAGGACAGTGTGCATACATAGCTTAAATCATCCATGCGTCAACAAGAAAAAGACAGTTTTCACTTCATTTTCAAATGCTTCTCAACTAGTATAACATGTCACATCAACGCTCTCATACTTATATCACAATTCCTCTCACAAAAGAAGGAAGACGTTTCTCAAGACGTTCCTACAATACAATAAAGAACTTGCATTTGCTTTTCACTAAATACGATTAAAAAAGTTATTCTTAAAATAAACTTAGAAGGAACACGTACGAATCCACCCATGCGGAAGAATATACACGTGGTCTCACTAATGCCGATGTTAACAACAATATGACTTAACTGAGAATTTTTGATACCCTGGAATTCTTATGCTTAACAACGGGCCACTGTTGCCTTTGTTAAGAGGTTTTGAGCTTTCAATCCCACTGACGGGTGATTGCTGTGGCAAAGATCGATAGAAATAGCTGAGAGACAGGCGAAACAAAGGACCCGCATGGTGTGGTGGTGAACGCGTTACTCCCCGGAAAGGACAATAGCGCGTTCATTCCCCACCATAGACACCTGCGGTTCAGAGTTCCGCAAATATCTCAGCAACGTTGTGGTTGTATTTTGAGCTTTCTTCCTAAGTAGTGTTATTGGATTTACCTGCTCGGTTGCACAGAATCCATTGGCTTTTCTAGAAGCACTGTAACTGGTGTAGTTACTTTCCTAAGCGGTTCAGTGCTGTCTAGATGAGATGCTTCCGCATCCTTTCTGGCTGCTTCCATAACAGCAATGATTTTTTCACGCTCACTAGGCGACAACTCCTCCAAACCAGGCAAACCAGCAAGTTCACTGAAAAATCAAACCGAATGCACAAAGGGTCATCAACATAGTCACTGTTTTATTTCATGTATCAAGGTAGGGGTAGGATGGACCGAACTTAGCTTTTACACACATCTCTATACAGTCACTGATGAAATTCTCAGCCCATTGTATTTTTTACATTCTCACATTGTGAAAAGCGTCATCGTGCTACTCATTTCGTTCTAAATGTTAGTGCTAGGTCTTGGACCTATCTGAAACAACTGATGTCACTTACTTATCTCCTAACTTAAAATAAACCTAGTCCCCTAAAAATTGAGTTATTCAGACCCGTACCATTTGTCTTCCCTGGCCGTCGGGTGACTCGTTGACGCGAGTAAAGTCTCCATTTATCCCTGTCCCATAAACCAGTCCCAATTCCGTTCTCTCTAGGGACTATCTCAGCACTACATTTTCCCTAAAAGATCTTCGTGAACAAACCAACCAATCCAACCGGTATTTCTGCTCAGTACGTGACATCCCATGGGACTCAGTCGCTGACGGGTTTTGTCCAACTGTTGTCATTGTGACGCATCAAATAACCGGCCTACCTCATTTTTAACATTTTAGCGTTCACAACATCGCCTTTGATCTTTGATCGTTGAAATAGGTCCAATCTTCGGATTACCTCTCTCACTTATGTCATACAGGATAGGCCTAACATCGCCCTCTCGACTGAGAATATGATAGCCCTTGTGAACCACCAACTTGAACATATGCGTGGGTTTCTAATGAGTATGTTATGCCGACAGAATCTAATGATCAAAAAACTGGGCCGTTGGGAGTTTTAACCCCTTCACTAAATCACCGACGCTCCTGAAAGCTGCTCAAACTGCTCGTTTCCTTCAGCTTAGCTGTGGAGCTAAGTCATTCATCATGTTGAGTTTTCGATTCAGTCACGTAGGCATATATATATATATATATATATATGTATATACATGTATGCATATAAATTATATATATATATATATATCACATACGAATAATGAAAGCTGAAAGAAAAGCCATGTTTAAAGGCTCCTCAACCAACGAACTTCCGGTAAGTCGTCAATTACCAAGATGGAAGAAAAACTATTTCTGTCTAATTCACCGTATGGCACATGGCTGCATTACTAACTGTACCTATATAACATTAGGAAGAACGTGTTTTCTACATAAAAATTTCTAAAAGTAGTTTAATTGTGGAGGCGTTACATATGAACCTTAGTGTACGACTGTGCATATCCACGACATAGGCAGGTGGTTTTTGCTGGTGGGGTGCTGTCGAAGTAGACGGTAACAACGACGCAACACTCCGTCCGTCGTAGTCCGTTTCCTTCCGCGACGGCCGCGGAACAACTGTATCCGCTGCTGCAGCCTCCATTACAGTCATGATTTGGCGCTGTTCTTCCTTTGAGAGATCTTGCAGGCCAGGAGGAATGATTGCTTCCCTGAAGAGATGGAACAGATAGGACTCGCACAAAAACACAAAAAATGAGAACAATAATATTGAAAGCGCCGCAAATCAATTTACTCAATGGAGTGAAGCTCAATAAATTCAATTTCAAAGAGTGTAGTGCTATCACGACTCAATGCCGTTCTCGCGTGAGCAACTTTCCTTCTTTCTACTGGTTAGTGTTGCTAGATTATTATTACTACTACTATTGTTATTATCGTTACTACTGTTGTTATTATGTTATACCTTTTTATTTTCTGCCTACTATAATTTCGCGGCAGGGCACTAAGCGAAATACAACCACAACGTTGCTGAGATATTTGCAAAACTCTGGACCACAGGTGTCTACGGTGAAGAATGAACGCGCTATTGTCCTTTCCAGGGAGTAACGCGTTCACCACCACACCATGCGGGTCCATCGTTTCGCCTGTCTCTCAGCTATTTCTATCGATCTTTGCAACAGCAATCACCCGTCAGTGGGATTGAAAGCTCAAAACCTCTTAACAAAGGCAACAGTGGCCCGTTGTTAAGCATAAGAATTCCAGGGTATCAAAAATTCTCAGTTACGGCATATTGATCCCGCATAGTGTGGTGGCGAACGCGTTACTCCCCGGAAAGGACAATAGCGCGTTCGTTCCCCACCATAGACACCTGCGGTCCAGAGTTATGCAAATATCTCAGCAACGTTATGACTGTTGTTATTGTTACTGCTACTGTTCATGTTATTGTTAATATTATTGTTACTATTATTATTAGTATTATTACTACTACTATTATTATTAGTAGTATTATTACTAGTATATTATTATTTTAGTATATTATTAATATTATTAGCATATTTTTATTATTATTAGCATATTATTACTATTACTAGTCTATTATCCACAGATCTCCCTCATATGAGGGATCTTGAGCCGGTTAGTCGCGAGGCTACGTGGTGCATCCCCGGGTGGCGGATAGGAATTAGAGGAACAAAAGCGGGCCTTGCTTCTCTGAGACGCAGGTGGATCCAGGGATGGACTCCTTGGTTCTGCTGCACCGATTTGGCACATTCTGTATTTGCTAGGCGTATCCATGCATGCGTGTGTGGGTGCGTTCTTGCTTATGCGGATTGTACTCTACGAGTAAATTCGGCCAAAAGCCTGGAATCAAGCGACTGGGAAATATATGAGAGGCGGTTAGGAGTCGCCTTCAACAAATAAGCTCCACGTCCACTCTGGGAGAGATACCCAGTCCCCACGTTCAGAGCCCATCGAGCTATACGTGGATATCAAAATGCTAAACACAGTAGGCCAGTGAAGCTGCCTGGATTTCAAAGAACTATGGTGACGATCTGTGCCTATAATGCACGCACACTTGCATCCGAGTCCCCGATAGAAGACTTGCTCATGCAAGCAAGAAGGATAAGGTATGACGTCATCGGTCTGGCCGCAACGAGGAGACACCTTTCAACGCCGTCTATGACACCGGAGAAGAACTGTTCCTCCTTGGAACATACGACAGTAGAGGAGTCGGCGGCGTCGGCGTTCTCGTCAACACGAGTTTGCCCATGAACATTGATTCATTCGAACAACTTACAACCCGAATCGGACGTCTACTTTTAAGAAAGATGTGGATCAATTCCGGCCATGACAGTTTTCCTCGTTTACGCGCCGGCATCAAACTACGACGAAGAAGAAGTCGAAGCGTTCTATATGTGCTCGAAGAAGTTCTACAGAGAAGACCATACATTCTTCAAGGTTATCATTCGAGATTTCAACGCCAAGATCGGACCAAGAAGAACGTCTGAAGAGCGTCACATTGGGACTCACGGATTAGAATGGAACGAACAGGGTGAGCGGCTATCTGAGTTTACCATGGCGACCAAGACAATCCATGGTAACTCGCAATTCCAGAAGCCCCACCCTCAGTGCTGAATGTGGGAGTCTCCCAGTTGAGAGTACCATAACGAAATAGACCACATCATATTAAATAGGTTTTTCCTCATCGATGTCGCTGTTGTCACAAAATTCTACACGGGATCAGACCATCGTCTCTTTCGTTCCACATTCTATTTCTCCCGGAAAGGAGAAAAAGCCGATAAATTCCAAAACCGAAGTACCACAACAGCCGTAAAGTGGAATTTGTTCAATTCACTAGTCGGCTGTTGGGAAGATGCCGTTGTCAATAACATAGACGAAGAATACGATCGGCTCAATCAACATTTTCACGTTAGCGCTATGAAAGCTCAGAGTTCGAGAGTCGCCAAGAGACCTCTGTCTCCAGAAACGCTCGAGCTGACACGCCAGCGTGGAATCGCACGAGCTGCAGGCAACCGCGAAATAACGTCCGAACTTGCAAAACAATGCAAACAGGCGATAAAAGAAGATCTTAGAGAGAGAAGAGCAACAGTAATGGCCGAAGCTGTAGAGGCTGCCAAAAGCATTCGCAAAAACCATCGAAGCTTCGCTAATTACAAGACAAAAAACAAAATGACAGACGGAACAGTTACAGCGTCCAGAAAGGCAATGGAGAAAATCATTCACGAATACTACTCAGATCTCTTCGATAGCCACGTCCACCTTCCGTTATATGAAATAAAAGAAGATGGATANGGGATCAGACCATCGTCTCTTTCGTTCCACATTCTATTTCTCCCGGAAAGGAGAAAAAGCCGATAAATTCCAAAACCGAAGTACCACAACAGCCGTAAAGTGGAATTTGTTCAATTCACTAGTCGGCTGTTGGGAAGATGCCGTTGTCAATAACATAGACGAAGAATACGATCGGCTCAATCAACATTTTCACGTTAGCGCTATGAAAGCTCAGAGTTCGAGAGTCGCCAAGAGACCTCTGTCTCCAGAAACGCTCGAGCTGACACGCCAGCGTGGAATCGCACGAGCTGCAGGCAACCGCGAAATAACGTCCGAACTTGCAAAACAATGCAAACAGGCGATAAAAGAAGATCTTAGAGAGAGAAGAGCAACAGTAATGGCCGAAGCTGTAGAGGCTGCCAAAAGCATTCGCAAAAACCATCGAAGCTTCGCTAATTACAAGACAAAAAACAAAATGACAGACGGAACAGTTACAGCGTCCAGAAAGGCAATGGAGAAAATCATTCACGAATACTACTCAGATCTCTTCGATAGCCACGTCCACCTTCCGTTATATGAAATAAAAGAAGATGGATATGTTGTACCACCGGCTCGCCCTTCCCAAATCCGACATGCCATTTCGTCAGTGAAAAATCGAACAGCACCAGGTCTGGACAGAATAAGACCAGAACACCTGAAGAACCTTCCGCCAATCCTCGTAAACACACTGGCTCGGCTCTTCACATGTTACCTCTCTGAATGCAAGGTGCTTAATCAGTGGAAGACCAGTTAGACCGTGTTGTTGTTCAAAAAGGGTGACCTACACGATATCGGCAATTATCGCCCAATCTGCTTGCTGTTTGTCGTCTGCAAACTTCTCACTTGAGTCATCCTGAACAGGATCGGCAGAAGGCTGGACCAAGAAGTAAGCATGTGAGCAAGTAGCGTTTTGAAAAGGAGTCAGTCCCATCGCCCTGTCTTATTTAAATCGATTCAAGGAAAGCTTCTGACTCAGCTGGGATAGAAGCAGTCATGGAAGCCCTTGATATTCAAGGAGTCCCTACACAGTACATAAAGATTCTTCATGAGCTGTACAAAAATTTCACAACCAAGATATCACCATTCTACAACAATATTAACATTGACGTCAAAAGAGGAGCTCGGCAAGGCGATCCGATCTCACCAAAAATATTTGCCTCCACCCTCCATAACGTCATTCGAACATTGGAAAGGGATAGTGTGGGAGTAAAAATCGACGGTCGGCAGTTACACCATCTTCGCTTTGCTGATGACATGGTCCTTATAACACTAAACATTAGCCAAGCGGAACGTATGCTTGACGACTTTGATAAAGCCTGTGGAAAGATTGGTCTTCGGCTAAATCTCACAAAAACGATGTTCATGAAGAACGGATTGGTTTCGTATGCCTTATTCACGTTCAACGGAACGAATGTCTCCGAATGCTCCATTTATGTCTGTCTTGGTCGGGAAATCAACACGTTGAACGACTTAACTCCAGGGCTGAGCAGAAGGAAACGAGCGGCTTGGGGAACTTTCAAGAGCATCGAGGATGTAGTGAAGAGAACAAAGTACACCCGACTCTGTGCCCACCTTTTCGGCTCAACGGTACTTCCTGCCCTAACGCATGCGTCAGAAACCTGGTCGCTGCGTAAGCAGGATGAAAGGTCACTCAACGTTATCGAACGCGCAGTCGAAAGGACGATGGTAGCAGTATTTCGTTCCACACAAGGATTGGATCCGAAGCTCCGATCTGCGTCAACGATCAAAAATCAAAGATGCCGTTCTGTAAGCCAAACAGTCGGAAATAAGTTGGGCCGGACACGTAATGCGTATGAATGAGAACAGATGGACAAGAGCCGTTTATGCCTGGATTCCTCGGGATGCCAAGCGAACTACTGGAAGACCACCGACTCGATGGTCAGAGTTCTTTGCGAAGAGCCTAAAAGAAAGATATGATGCTCGATGAGTCCCTAGAGCGACTAGAACCCACTGTGCTGCTCTTGCACGCGACAGGGAAAAATAGAAAATTCACTGGACCCAGCTCGAGTCACTCGACGATCAACGGGACAACAGGTGATACAGGTGATTAGTTTATTATTACTATTATTATTATTAGTACATTATTATTAGTGTTTTTTTATTTTTATTAGTTTATTACTATTATTAGTATATTATTATTAGTTTATTAATATTATTATTAGTATATTATTATTATTACTATATTATTAATATTAATAGTATATTATTATTATTATTAGTATATTATTATTATTGATTATTATTACTACTATTATTACCATTAATTACTATCATTATTATTAATTAATATTATTAATTATTACTATTACAATTATTATTATTAATTATTATTATTTTTATTAGTACTATCATTATTATTATTGTTATTATTATTACTGTTACGAATGGTACTACTAAAGGATAAAGGATAAAGCATTATGCAGATCAATCTCTGAAGGATGCGCGATGCACTCGTCTTCATCAAGCATCCTTATAGATAACTGGCTGAATATTTGGCTTATAAAATGATTCACAGTGGCTAACCGATGTATCACATGGGTGCTAATATCCCTCAGACAAATTCGGCACGAATTTTCCGACACCAGAGGAATAGAAGGTTGGAGGAGCCTGGAGTGCGTGATCAAACAGAGGACCACGCCTGTATTGCAGGGCAGTTCTACCCACTGCGCTACACACGCCACTATTACTGATAATATTACTTTTGGAATTATATTGTCCCCAGTAAAAGCCCAACTGAGAGCAGGACTTCATCACCGAAGAGCACAATGAGTTAACGATTGTTACTTTCCAACCGAAAACGAAGCTCAGCTGCGCGACTACTGACACGACGAGGACAACTGGAATTTACTGGTACTCGATCGTCGTTCGGTAATTAACGGGATTGAAAGTAATAGAGATTCATACCATTAATATTATTGCAACATTATTGTTAATAAAACCACAAGGATGCCGAGACATTCGTAAAACTTGGACCCCGAGCCAGAATCACTATAGTTGCGTTTCACATTATATCCCGCCATAAAAAATCGTAATAGGCAACACATAAAAAGCTAACATTGTGATTTCATTTATAGCCTCAGCTTATCTGGGTTCAATGCCGATTTAGGCCCACCAGATCAATTCCGTTGATGGGTGACTGTTGATGGCACTATAGAGAGAAAACTAGCTGAGAGAGAGGTGAAACGAAAGATCCGCATGGTGTGGCGGTGAACGCGTTAGACCCTGGAGGGTGTAATACCACGTTCGTACCCCATCGCGAACACCCAGGTCCGGAAATTTGCAAACAGTTTTGCATCACTATAGGTGTATTATTATTGATATTATTAGCTCCCATCGGGCGTCTTTAACAAGAATGAGTGAGGACTTCACTCGTGCTCATTAGACTCAAATTACTCGACAACTAACATGATTCACATATGCCAACTGTGTCACGGTAATGCCATTAATCACCAAATGACTAATGAGCGCCACCATTAAGCTCCATGCATTCTAGCTGCCCTTTGGACGAATTTGCTCAAGACACACAGGTATCATGCTTTCGACATTATGCACTCATCTAAGTGATTTTAACGAAGTATTGACGAGGTAGCTCGCTGTACTCTGCTGTGGCTTATGCTTACTTCTAGCTGGATTTCCAGATGAAAACATCGGAATCGTTCCACGCTTTTGTGACTCTCCTAGAGATAAAGTAAATCACTGTTTGATACTCAGAAACACTCCAATTATGATGAGGCGATGAACCATTGAATGGTAGTGAATTAACTACCATTATGATTATTGTCTAAAAGGGTGCTTTTTCCACCGTAATAAACATTCTTTTTACATCAACCAGCATCACACATTTTCCGGGTCTCAGCACTTCTTTCATTCCATTCGTTTGCTGTCGGGTCGCCCGTTGTTTCAAGAAGAACGTCGCTGACTGCTTGTAGAGTTGATTCTCCCTGGAATCCTGGGATATCTATGTCAAAACTTCCTCAGATGTCTCCATCTTCTGTAGGGTGGAAGGATCGAGCTAATAGCAGAAAATTCTGATAACGATTTTCCAACCATGGATACATAAAAGGTTTGGTTGGCCAGCTGCGACATTGACAAAGATCTTGCATGCATTACCAAATAACATGTCTACGACTGAACTGTCTAAGCCTCATCGTAATAAATACAGCGATTCTAATTCGCTGAGACACCGAATTGAGTAAGTCAGGCACAACTGCTTTATAGGTCCATGCAATGACGACGTTTGCCACACTCAGGGTGCGCTACCAACTGCCGAATCAATAGGCTTGTTTGTTTCGATGATACACCGAAAGAAGCAAATCACCTATCATGGTGCGGCTGAATTGTCATAGTGACGTCTGTGCTGGGCATTACATCGATAGCCCATTAATGATGATAGCTGTATATCACTGTGCGGTGATAGCATTCCATATCAGGCGCAATAATCAAGCAGAAACTAGCAATTTTTTTATTCTGACATTCTTCAACACTTTTCTAACGAACTGCAAAAGAAGGACCACAGAAAATCATGGTAAACGTTACCTCTTTGTGGATACAGCGGATGGCGACTGCGATAATGGATAATCAGAAAAAACTACTGGTTTTTCTTGATCGTGCTCCTCATGTAGCCGGCCGACAATACGTTCGCTCGAATCTCTCAATGTTTCTGTGGACGGTACGGTGCTAAAGTAATAAGTCATGAATCGCAAAAGATAACAACAACGTACAGCAATGACAACAATAAAATCTTTTCTTGTTGATTTTTGTATTTCTGGTGTTTACAAAGGTGACAAACTCAGATGTCTTGGCATGCCAATGATGGAATAATACACTGCAGTACAAGAAGAAATGAGTATGTTCTAAAAGAACAAGGGCTGAATTTACGAACGGCAAATGTGCGACCGGTAGCGGCGGTGTACCGTCCGCTGCAGCGTCCAGCTCTGCACAAGCTATAACGGCTTCGATTTTCAATCTCTCCTCTTCTGACAATCCTTCCATACCCTGCGCCGTGTGAGCAATTGGACCCTGGAAATAGCGCTGTGGTTATTAAGAAAAAAATTAATAGAAAGGAAGAGGCACTCCAAAGGGGAGACTTTTGGAGACGTTGTTTGTTGAATATTTAAGGAGACAAATTGAAATTGTTCACAAAGCTTCATTTACTTATGTGTTGTTTTCAATACGTGCTCTCATTTCATTCACTTAGTAACTCACCTAGTCACTCATCTAGTCGAACAAAGCATAATAAAACAATCAAACAGACATATGAGGCGACATTTAAAAGCAAGTTGAAGTCTAAAACAAAAAGAACCAAAGCTATACAAAAAAGAAATAAAGCAGGTTTCCATCGTACAAATCGTTAACGGTTTAAGTGAAATGCTGCAAAATGAACTTCATACGACAGTTACCGAATCTCCATCAACTCGTCTGAATAGGGCGGAAACTCGTTGACTACCCATTCCGAAATTGCCCAGTGGTTGAAACTTCAGAGTTCGGCCAAGCTCTTCTCTTGGTATTCTTCTTGGTTATGGTTTACTTCACAGCCAACGAACGCAGTATGAGAACTGTTGCACGCTTTCATCGATAAAAATGAGTGAGAAAGATATAGATGGCGAAGAAATTAGTAACGCGTTTCATTTACTTCTACACCTATGTCCATAGCACTGCTTCCAAAATCTCTAGAATCCGAACTCACTGGCGGGTTACTCTTCACCAATTTACACTGGAAACAGTGAAACCCTGATACCAGTGGTAAGCCTGGGAGGAAAGTAGAACTGAACAAAGGAAACACTATAAAGAAAAGAGCCAGAACCTCCAACAGAATACGCATTCAGCAAAATCTAATGTCACTTCCTCTCATGCTTCATAATCTACTCGAAACACTGCACTAAAGAAGATGATAGAATAGAGACAAGAAAACTTTTAAACGGGAATAGACGTCAACAAAATATGCTCTAATGCGATTAGAGATGAGAAATGATGTTCTTCTTTATCGAATTGGAAAGAAATCCATGCAAACACCCAAAATCGTTACAAAATCACGAGTGATCGTATCGTATATGATCATTGAAAGAAGAATAGCAGTGATTTTCTTATCTGTCTAATTAGGTCATTCTCGTGCTAATGTTCTCTATACTCTTAATGCTGCGCACTGATGACGACTGTGGAACAAAAAATTGATTCTGTTGAGGTAACGTTTACCAACTGAAATGGTCGACTTATTCGCTGATGAATGATATCGTCTAAAGCGGAGCATCCGTGTCTATTTCGGAAAGTCAACATGACGAACGACTCAGTTCCAAAGCGTAGCAGAAAGAAAGCAACCGGTTGAAGAGCGTAAAAATATTAGGGATGTCGTGAAAGAAACGGAGAACATTCCGATGCGCGGTAGCATTTTCGACAAAAGTGCTGCTCAAGCAGGATGACAGAGCCGTTAACGTTAGCAGACTTGAGGAAATGATGATAGGGGTATCTCGTATTCTACAAGAAAGTTCAGACCGATACCGACGATAACAGAAAATTATAGACATCACCGCGCACTACAACATGTCAAAACTCAGACGGTGGCCAAATAATGTGTTTTGACGACATCGGTAGATCCGTCACTGGCAGTCTTTACATACATATATATATATATATGTGTATATATATAACAAAAAAACTAGCGACTGAGTGGTTAATCTTATTCATGAAAACCCAAGACAAATATAACCTAACGCTTTGTCCCTCGAGAGAATGAAACCCACAAAGCGATTCCAGTACACGACAGAAAAGTGTGGAGATTTTGTTAGTACCCGAAAGAGTCACTCAATAAATACTGAAAGAACACTTGGCACCGATGATTCATGATCGCTTGCACAACGACTTCAGCACGAGAGGGAGATCTGACCAATCTAGACCGTTCGTCAGCATCTTATAGAACTGTTGCTCTTTTCAATCTCTTCGTGCTCTATTTCAATACAGGAAATCTCACACGATTGATTTCCATAATAAGTAAGGTGTGAGAGGAAGTATTTCTTCACTTCTTAGTGACCCCTCCACGTTTACTAAACGGGAGAATATTGAATTATTTTTGCGAAGCCTAAATATCATAATCGAGGATTAACGCCGTGAAAAAAGGAGTTCTCGCATGGAGAATATGAAGGGTAAAGGATAAAGCTCTCGACTTTGATCAATCCTTTAGGAATGCGCCATGCATTCGACTTTATTAAGCATCTTTGGAGGGGAATGAATGCATATCTAGCCTTTACAATAACCCGCGGTGTCCTACCGATGTATCGAATCAGTGTTGTTATCCCCCAGACAAGTCTGGTACCCATTTGCCAACTCTGGAGAGATAGAAAGCTTGGTGAGCCACGGGCGTGGGGATCGATTCCAAGTGTGTGTCGCAATTTTATAGCTGCTTTCGTTTTAGAATTCAGCACTATTATAGGCAATGTAAACACGAAACTACGTTATTTTCTTAGCTAATTATGTAAATTGAGGCATGTTCACTGTATAAGGAATGAAGAATAAAGTATTGGCCGTTAATAAGTCCCTGAGGGATAAGTCATACATTTGACTTCATTAAACATAGTTAAAGGTAATGAATGCATATCTGCCCCATACAATGTGGTCATTCGGTGTATCAAGTCAGTGCTTTTATCCTGCGAAATTGGAGGGATGAAGGACATGGCCTATCCGGAATGTGACATCGAATCTGTGGCCACGTGTATCTTTTATGACACCTTTACGTCACCTGTCGCTTAGTTTACAGTTGAGGAAAAAAATGTACTGGTTTTTCGTGCATACCAAGGCGATGCAATTTATATGTGTAGAACGGTTCACTGGGAAAAATAATCACTCAAGATATTTTGACGACCATGTAAAGACCGGATTTGTCGTCTCAAAGATCAACCTAGAGCATATGGGTGGCAAGAAACCGGCTTTACTCAACGCAAACAGGTGGTTGTAGAAGAACGACGTAGAGTTCGGACAAAAACGATTCGAGGCACTGCGAGACACCGACACAACGATAGAGCAGGCAAGGAAATTATGTAGAAATTTTTTCCAGCATAAACCTTTTCCGATTTTTACAGATGATCATTCAAAACACGATATGGAACGCTGTTTCAAATTGCATCCGCCGCTCATGAAATTAGAAAATATTGGAGTTCATCTTCGCAAAGAACGTGTCACCAAAAAAGCGCTATTGAAGGTGCTCAATATCTAGTCAGCAATTTCTTCTGTGAACAAAGACGAGTTGGCATAAAAATTATTAGCATATTCTCTTCTAAGCCATTTCTGGAAAAATCGAGTTAGTAGTTGCACTAATGAAACACGAGCTCCTTGTGAACAATGAAGGGAGCAAGTAAGTAAATTAAAAGCGTAATAATATTTCACAAACCAACGTCCTCGCTTCGAATGGTTAATGTACCTTCTTTCATTGATGAGTTAAAACGATGATGAACAAGCAAACCTTATTCGGCTAATGTTTCCGACATTTTCGTCCTCATCAAAGCAGATGACTCTAGTCGATGTCCTTAGTTCTTCGTACTCTCGTTCTGGTGTCTTCATAGTGGCATCGGGTCGGATCTTCTTTGCCGGGGCATCACTCGAATGATACGATCCCAATCCCCCACCCGGCGCTGCTCTTTCATCGAGGATACCACATCCAGAGTACGAAGAACTGCGGACATCGATTCAGGTCATCGACTCTGAGGAAGATAAAGATGTAGAAACGTTGCCCGAATAAAGTTTATTTTATCAACCTTGTGTTAACTCATTAATGAAAAGATCAAAACTATGAGGCACACATGTGTGATAGTGCCTGCTTTGTCAATCACTTGCAGCGCTTAGCTGAACACACTGAGTCCAAATGTGGTTTATCGAAAACTAACGATAATTTTTAGATGAACATGGGATTTAAGCACGTCAGACCTTCACAGACTTATACAGCAAACTTGGCTCCATTGTGCCATTTAATTTTTAGATTTGCTTAGATTTAAGCTCTTGTTTTCAAAACACTGTATGCACAAAAAAGTGAAAAAAGTTTCGTTCTTGTACTCCAAAAAATAGAAACATCGCCTTGGTGGGATACGAAACTTGTTTCTGGTTGGGATGGACCTGTAGATTCTCACCGCTTTTATTTCGAACAACAATGGTCAATATGAGCTGATACATAGTGGCTTCACGCAGCCATTACCTTTCCCCTAAATGAGTTCTAAATAATGCATGTCGGGCCGTCGCGGATTTTAGGATTTTCAGCCAACAGAGTCGCCTTTATAGCGTCTTGTGGAAGTTATGGTAGACAACCCAATGTGATTCAAAACGAAAAACTTTAAAGTGAATCGAATTCCAGAAATTTAAGTTTGATTCCATGCCTTACACAACGCCTAAAGTATGGTAAAGCGATGAACAGTACACGGAGAGACCAGTTTTTTCCCAAATTTCCTTAGAAAAATTGAAGGAAAAGAAATGCGTGTTGCGAAACGGAATTAACCAGATGCGGTTGTGAGGTCGTGAGGTCGAGAGTCTGCCAGTGAACGCATTTGAAATGATGCTGGAAACCGATGCATGGGGGTTGGGATGAAATTCCTGTTAGAACTATTTCACATGGGTGGATTTGCACATAAGATAACAATCGAGATAACACTATAATTTCTTGCCTCACCTTTTGCTTTTCAAGGACATGAGAGGTGTTTTAATTATTCTTACTTTATTTTATATGACCCGTCTTCCACGGATCTCACTCACATGAGGGATCTCGAGCCGGTTAGTCGCGAGGCTACGTAGGACGTCCCCAGGTGGCGTATAGTGGGCTAATCGCGGAACAAAAGCGACCATTGTTTCCATGAGACGAAAGTGGATCCAAGAGATGGACTCCTTGTTTCTGCTGCGCCGATTTGGCACATTCTGTATTTGCTAGGCGTACCCATGCATGTGTGTGTGGGTGCGTTATGGCTTATGCGGAATGTATTATATGAGTCAATTCGGCCAATCAAGTGACAGGGAACGGGAGGTAGTTAGGAGTCGCCTTCAACAAATAAGCTCCATGTCCGCTCTGGGAGAGCCTGGCAAGCTACACGTGCGTATACCAAGACCCCGCGTTCAGAGCCCAGCAAACTATACGTGGGTAGCAAGATACTAAGTACAGTGAAAGAAAATGGGTCTCATTCTCCTGACCCCGAAAGAGGCCCCAATTTCGCAGCGTTAGGTAGGACGAGTACGGAGAAGCTGCTAAAATCTCACGGCCAGTGAAGCTGCCTGGATTTCAAAGAACTATGGTGACGATCTGTGCCTATAATGCACGCACACTTGCATCCGAGTCCCCGATAGAAGACTTGCTCATGCAAGCAAGAAGGATAAGGTATGACGTCATCGGTCTGGCCGCGACGAGGAGACACCTTTCAACGCCGTCTATGACACCGGAGAAGAACTGTTCCTCCTTGGAACATACGACAGTAGAGGAGTCGGCGGCGTCGGCGTTCTCGTCAACACGAGTTTGCCCATGAACATTGATTCATTCGAACAACTTACAACCCGAATCGGACGTCTACTTTTAAGAAAGATGTGGATCAATTCCGGCCATGACAGTTTTCCTCGTTTACGCGCCGGCATCAAACTACGACGAAGAAGAAGTCGAAGCGTTCTATATGTGCTCGAAGAAGTTCTACAGAGAAGACCATACATTCTTCAAGGTTATCATTCGAGATTTCAACGCCAAGATCGGACCAAGAAGAACGTCTGAAGAGCGTCACATTGGGACTCACGGATTAGAATGGAACGAACAGGGTGAGCGGCTATCTGAGTTTACCATGGCGACCAAGACAATCCATGGTAACTCGCAATTCCAGAAGCCCCACCCTCAGTGCTGAATGTGGGAGTCTCCCAGTTGAGAGTACCATAACGAAATAGACCACATCATATTAAATAGGTTTTTCCTCATCGATGTCGCTGTTGTCACAAAATTCTACACGGGATCAGACCATCGTCTCTTTCGTTCCACATTCTATTTCTCCCGGAAAGGAGAAAAAGCCGATAAATTCCAAAACCGAAGTACCACAACAGCCGTAAAGTGGAATTTGTTCAATTCACTAGTCGGCTGTTGGGAAGATGCCGTTGTCAATAACATAGACGAAGAATACGATCGGCTCAATCAACATTTTCACGTTAGCGCTATGAAAGCTCAGAGTTCGAGAGTCGCCAAGAGACCTCTGTCTCCAGAAACGCTCGAGCTGACACGCCAGCGTGGAATCGCACGAGCTGCAGGCAACCGCGAAATAACGTCCGAACTTGCAAAACAATGCAAACAGGCGATAAAAGAAGATCTTAGAGAGAGAAGAGCAACAGTAATGGCCGAAGCTGTAGAGGCTGCCAAAAGCATTCGCAAAAACCATCGAAGCTTCGCTAATTACAAGACAAAAAACAAAATGACAGACGGAACAGTTACAGCGTCCAGAAAGGCAATGGAGAAAATCATTCACGAATACTACTCAGATCTCTTCGATAGCCACGTCCACCTTCCGTTATATGAAATAAAAGAAGATGGATATGTTGTACCACCGGCTCGCCCTTCCCAAATCCGACATGCCATTTCGTCAGTGAAAAATCGAACAGCACCAGGTCTGGACAGAATAAGACCAGAACACCTGAAGAACCTTCCGCCAATCCTCGTAAACACACTGGCTCGGCTCTTCACATGTTACCTCTCTGAATGCAAGGTNAATCAGTGGAAGACCAGTTAGACCGTGTTGTTGTTCAAAAAGGGTGACCTACACGATATCGGCAATTATCGCCCAATCTGCTTGCTGTTTGTCGTCTGCAAACTTCTCACTTGAGTCATCCTGAACAGGATCGGCAGAAGACTGGACCAAGAAGTAAGTATGTGAGCAAGTAGCGTTTTGAAAAGGAGTCAGTACCATCGCCCTGTCTTATTTAAATCGATTCAAGGAAAGCTTCTGACTCAGCTGGGATAGAAGCAGTCATGGAAGCCCTTGATATTCAAGGAGTCCCTACACAGTACATAAAAATTCTTCATGAGCTGTACAAAAATTTCACAACCAAGATATCACCATTCTACAACAATATTAACATTGACGTCAAAAGAGGAGCTCGGCAAGGCGATCCGATCTCACCAAAAATATTTACCTCCACCCTCCATAACGTCATTCGAACATTGGAATGGGATCATTGGAACCAAACATTAGGCAAGCGGAACGTATGATTGCCGACTTTGATAAAGCCTATGGAAATGTTGGTCTTCTGCTAAATTTCAGAAAACGATGTTCATGAAGAACGGATTGGTTTCGTATGCCTCACTCACGCTCTACGGAACGAATACCTGTGAATGCTCCAGTTATGTCTATCTAGGTCGGGAAATCAATATGGTAAATAGCTTAGCTCCAGAGCTGAGCAGAAGGAAACGAGCTGCTTGGGGAGCTCTCAAGAGCATCGAGGATGTAGTGAAAGAACAAAGAACACCCGACTCTGTGCCCACCTTTTCGGCTCAACGGTACTTCTTGCCCTAACGTATGCGTCAGAAACCTGGTCGCTGCGTAAGCAGGATGAAATGTCACTCAACATTATCGAATGCGCAGGCGAAAGGATTATGCTAGGAGTAACCCGTTTCACACAAGTAAAGAATGGGACCCCAAGCTCCGACCTGCATCAACGATCAAAAATCAAAGATGCCGTTCTGTAGGCCAAACAGTCGAAGATAAGGTGGGCCTGACACGCAATGCAGGTCGGAGAATAACAATCGATGGACAAGAGCCGTTAGTGACTGGATTCCTCGGGATGCTAAACGAACTACAGGAAGACCACCGACTCGATGGTCAGAGTTCTTTGCGAAGAGCCTAAAAGAAAGATGTGATGTTCGATGAGTCCCTAGAGCGAGCAGAACCCACTGGGCTACTCTTGCACGCGACAGGGAAAAATGGATGATTTACCGGTGCACGCTCAAGTCACTCGACGATCAACAGGACTACAGGTGATACGGTGATGACCCGTCTTCTCGTCTACGGTGCGGATCCCAACATTTCTCACATTCGATTTGTTTCTTAGCATCCACCATCCACGAAGACCTTCCAATTCTACGTGTGGCTTCGGTTGCTGCTTGAGAATTTTCGATTCATCTTGAATACCGTTGAATGCTGGTCGAGTAATTCTCCCTAAAGCCCTTGGGTAGACGGGCTGGAGCATTCCCAGTTGGATTTCGGCGAATAGTTTTTTCCCGGACAAGTCCGGAACCAATTTTCCGACCCCGGAGGAATGAGAGATTTGGTTGGCCCGGAGCGGAATCGAAATAGCACTATGGTCGTTTTGACAGATATCACTACCATTGTGCTATCCGCACCCTTGAGGTATTCTAATGGAGTTGTAAAAGGCAAAATTCGTAAAGAACTACTGCAAATGATATGACTACAGTTTTCAGAGTTCGTGAACACTGGATATTGGAATTCCTCGACATGAAAATGATCGAAGAGAACAATTGTCACCGGTTAAGAATCGATTAAAATGAATCACATTGCAAAACTGGTGAAAGGCCGTTGACATTCAAATTCTCGTGCTTATTTAATTGAAGTACAGCAATAGAACTCTCACTTGAATAGGTAGGAGCAGGTGGTTCTGAATGAGGACGTCTGTGGAATGACAGAATGGCGTCTACTCAAGAAAGACTGTAGAAAAAAATGGATGGAATGAAAAACGATTGTTTAAAAAATACGAAATACGTAAAAAAAAAGGCTTGCATATGTCCAGAATATTACGACTGCGAAGGCGTTCTACCACCAGACATCTTACAGAATATTAGTGTTTTCGGAAAACTTACACATTTATCTACTTGGATACTTAGACTGCCCATCGTCACGAGCTGTCAGGACTCTAGCACATCTTCCATTCGCTTTCTCACAATCGTCGTCCATTTTGGTGATCGCATTCGAGGATTCTGGCCGGTGCGAGTCTCATACCGTGATCTGTACAACAACTGCATCTTCTAGTACAGCCGATTGACTTCTTGCTCTTGCTGACGATTGATTGCTGATGGCATCGTTAGGATAAAAAACCGCCTGAGAGAAAGGCAGAAAAAGGTCCTCAATGGCGCAGTGGGTAACATGTGAGCCTCCGGAAGGAATAATCGCGGCTTTGAATCAGAACAGGATCCAAGTTTTGCAGATATCTTGACATCATTGTGATTGAATTTAGTTATGAGCTCATCACCTTAACATTCGTCCTAGAGGTCGCTTGCATCATCGGGAAGTCGGCTCTACATTTCTCGCATAATTCAATGTTTTTCATCAATAAGCAGACACGAGGTTGTTAATATAGAATTTATTAGAACACAATTGCTGACGTTTCGGCGGTTTCGCCTTCTTCAGAGCCTGGAAAGGTCAAATTGAGATGCGATATTGTTATTTCTCGCATATTTGTTTTCTGTTCCTTTCATTATATCAGTGGCCTTCTTATGTTTCGCTGACCATGTGTGTTCTCCTGGATCTGGGAGATGGGTAAGACTACGAAGATCAGAGCTTCACATTCCGATAAGATGTTTGTTGTGTGTGGCGGTTATATTTCAGCAAACATCGCTTAAGTGCTCTGTGGGTAATGCGCAGTATTCTTGAAGCGGTGTATCAGTCAGGTGGAGTCTTCACTATCGACGTATAATATATTCCATTGGACCTCAAAGATGGGATAGATATCGAAGATGTGAGCTGTGTATTCCACTTAGACGTTGTGGGTGCCTGCTAAGCTACACAAAAAATCGTTCAAGCGCTCTGTGGGTGGGGCGCAGAATTCTTGACATTGGTTCATGACCTTACGTCTCTGCTACATAACAGACACTGGAAGGACTGCTGAGTAGAAAAGGAGAGCGTGGATTGTTTGGTCTTTTAGTTCGTCGGTGGTTTCTACGAGAGGAACGAATGCGCTCTATGTCCCTCCCTTTCCTTCTTCTCCCTAATTCCTCCTCGATTTTGTTCGTCATGTTCAGTCAACGTTCAAGGTACACCTACAAGGTGGTCTCTGTAATCAGAGAGCTATCCAGTTTGATCTGGTTTTGCACCATGGGTTCTTCAGGACGTGCGTTTTTTCCGATTTATATGCAGTTCAATATTTTTCTCCCTTTTTGTTGAGCTCATTTAGCACCGGCTGTCCAGCGAAAGGAAGATTTGATAGGGATTTTCCACCAATGCGTATGCCGTTCTCATTCCAGTCAAGTGACTTCGTTATCTACTCCAACGCAGCTGTAAACAGCTCTGCTGCTATTGTGTCGCGTTGTCGAACACCTTTTCCAATGCTATGGTGAATGGTCGATGAAAACGATTTATTTTGCTTTTCAGCTCTGATATCAATCAGCTAGAGTTTTACGAAAGACACGTCCAATCGTTCATCGACGGCTGCTGATAGGATTGCATTTATTTCGACGCTGTCGAACGCTTTTTACAGTCGACAATAGTCAGCGCTTGGGGCAGGTGGTATTCCCGATAAACTTTTGTGACATCGTACACGGCTTCGATGTGGTTCATATAGTAAAACCTTTGCCTAAACCCTGCTTGCTTATCTGTTTGCTTATCACCAAATTTCTTTAATATGGGTGATAGGATATTCTTCGTGAAGTGCTCGTAGAATACATTCAACAAGCATATTGAACGATAGTTGCAAATATCCATTGGGTTACATTGATTAGATGAGATGACCATGCCCGACATTCTCTACTCGCCTGGAATTTTTCCCTTTAAGGTAGAATGTCATACGGATTTGTGGGTGTGATATTGTCGAGTCCTGGAGATGTGCCTTTTTTCATGTTTTTTATTGAAACTCGAAGCTCACAGGGAAGAGTTCCAGACGGTTTTTCTCTAGCGGGAAATTCGAGGTCCTAGACGGTTATTGCGGGGCAAAGAAGTTTGTGTAAAACTTTTGCGTTATCAACTCCATATCATGGCTGGATGTGCCAGTCATCGCATTTTGGTTCATCAGGGATTGCAGCAGAATGTTATACACATGCAATGCCGGCAGTACTTCTTCGGACAGGATCGTTTTTAGCTGCTTCTGTGAACCTTTTCTGCACATGTCGATTAGATGCTCATACAATGATCAGCCGGCATTTAATGTCGACCGTGTTAGGTGTGTTCCCTTAGGATCAAACTTCAATTTCCTTCCCTTCTTGAGCAACTCAGTGGTAATGGAGATGCGATCTCATCTTCTTGCTTGTGGAATCAAAGCGGATTCGGCACAACTTTAAAGTCCTTCCACAACTAGCTCATAGTCTTCACTCGGATCTTTTTTAGTCTTCCTGTCACGTTTGGATTGGACTTCGTTCAGAATGTTCTCGTCATATACAGCCTGACTTTTTCCTCATATAAGTTAAGAAACCAGTAAGATAGAACATCATATCTTACACCCTTACATCGTATCACACAGTATGCAAGTTAAGACATTGTGATCTCGACTTCAGCTTCAGCATAACTGGATTCGACGCCTATTTCTGCTATCCAGATCCTTATCGTTGAAAGGTGATTCCTACTAGCATCGAATGAATAAAAAAAGACTGAGAGAAAGGCAAACCGAAGGCCTCAAGTGGTATGGTGGATAGCTTATGAGTACTCTGTAACGATAATCGACTGCTCGAAGCGTAACTGAGGTCTCGAGTTGTGCTTATATCTCATCATCCTTGTGGTTGTATCTTGGTTTGATTCTTATTGTTAATGAAGGAGTTTGAGCACGGAGAAAGCAGGGCGACCAGTGTCCCACGTGTTGGGAATCGTGAGTGTGACTAAGAGGATTATGAAGCAACAGGATATGCGTGAGATCATCTGACTTGCGCCCTCCAATGTCTTTTGGAAATATGATTTCTCTCTTATCCTCAAATGGAGTTGGGAACTACAGCTTAGATGGAGTTTGTTAACTCTAACTATGATAATTCAAGCTGTTGAAGAGAAACATGTGAACGGATAGAACCTTGAAAACGCACTGCTGAAGAAATGTAGCTACACTAAGATCGTGGTACATTATTTATTTATTTATAGAAAAATTCGAGTGGAAACTGAGAGAAAACATGGAACTGCAGTATTCATTTGAGGCAGGAGAGTAGGTTTTGGAGTTAGACCAAAAAGGGGATACGGAACAGATAACAAATGTGGATCGGAAGCAATTCAGCCGCCTAATTGAATCGGTTACAGGATAGATGAACTCGATAAGGCTTCAAATATCTGGATTTTGCTAACATAGGAAACTAGATGAGAAAAATATACTTGAAGAGAACCAAGCATGATCATCAACAATACGTAATGATCGTAAAGCTGTAGAGCGATCATCAATATGAAGAGTAAATAGCGTTAATGGTAGGTGAGTAATGGACGGTGAGTATGAATAAAATGAGCTCGTAATCCGATTATTCAAAATATTCAATCGATATTTCAAATTTAGAAAACCTTTTAAAAGTCAAACAAAGTTTAATTTAAGTTTAAGTTTAATGTATTCAAAAACGAGATATGGGCAAATGAAAAATGATAAGTAAAAGCTACAGTATCATAGAATTTATAGGACAAAAAAGAAAACGGCAGAAGGGATATCCAACAAGGAAATGGAATATGAATATGATGAGCCTACCGTAGGGAATTTGCTCGTCGACGGCACATTTTGGACGATTTCGGCAGCTGCTTGTTTGGCCTGAAAATTTCCTACGCATTAGCACACACATTGAGCATTAAGACATGTGAGCAAATTAGTGACTCGCGACGTCAGCTTTTCTCGACAACCGCGAATTCTGAAGAGATGGATGAGCAGCCTTTTTCTGAATTCTCGAAGGTATATAAGTTAAAAGGAGAGGCAAATAGAGAGCAAAACGACTACAGGAATAGCGCAAAGCTGGAGAGTGCGAATCGGCGCGAAATCCCTCTGTCAGATATGCTATGCTGAACTTGAGCAAGAAATTTGAGCCCATTTTTATCAGCGTTTTTGCTGTGCACTAGCATGACATTAAGTATACTTAAGATCTCAGCCTTTCTTTTAGAGGTTCTATTTCAAAATAATACTGGTGAGACGTGGAAACATGAGTAAGTCTGTATTCACGGTCGATAAAGGACACACACTGCCTTTGCCCGATTATCGTGGAATTCAATAACTCGCAAGAGAGAGAAGGGTGAAAACAAGGCAGCAAATACAAATCAAAAAGCTTCCAACATAGACTCCCCTCAGTTTGGTGATTCACATAAAAGGAAATTTAAGTTCCTTAGTCAGCACAGCTGGACAAAAACCAGTTGAGAGTGGTCGAGAAAAACGTGCGCATAGCGATTCGGTTTGGAGCACGCAGATATGATTAGGCGAGGGTGGCGGTGTCATAAAAAGAACGCGGCGAACCTTTCCGAGAGCTCCGGTGGCCAGTCGTCCGAGGCCGGAGAGACCGAAACGGCCTGCTCGGCCCGAGTCCAGCATACGACCTCCTCCAGAAGACTTCGCCTCGCTATCGATCCCGACCGCTCCAGCACCGCCCTTCCCACCAGCAACCGCGAACGCGATCGATGCCCTTGACGCTGCTAAACATGACATATGCGAACATGAAAATCATATTCTCCTGAAATAAGCGACTGTCATTAGAATTTCCTGTGATGGAGGTCAGTGAGATTTGCACCTCAGATTAGTCCAATGTTTATGTTCATGTCTCGAAATGAGTTTCGCTTCGGCGATGGAAGACAGCATAATTGGATTTCTAGCCCAGTCTCGAAGAACAAGATCAAAACAATGCAGGCAATAGAAACAAATAGACTGAAGAAATTTGCGACGAGTAAAAAAAGCGAAGTGCTCGAAAACAAATTTTGCCGCCTGACCTCTGCCGTCTTGGTCACAACTTCCAGATTTATCTAAAATCTGAAGCCTGTCGACGAGGAATTCGCCTGACGTTACCAATTTTTTAAATTTTTGAAACGAGAATCCAAACTCTTATGCTCCATCCAGACGACTTTTGCAGACTGTGCCATTAAGTGTGTGGTCGAGCATTAAATCGGAATCTCACTGCTAAACTAACTCAGTCTTACTGCTCTGGGTCGTCCCTGTTTGTCGTCTACCCCAAATAAATAAAGGAGGTAGCAAACATCCACTTACTGGCACCAATTCGCCCCTTTTATATTCCGTTAGTTAGGATCTTCTCCAGAATATTCTACTTACGACTCAAATACGGCCAAAGGCTGTACGTGAGCGTCGAGCGGGTGGAGTCCATATTCCATGAAAGGTTAGCAAACTGAGAAACTGAGACGGACCTCTCCACTTCCAACTGGAAACCCAGTTATGAGTGAGCCTATGTCAGAAATCGTCGCAATTCTGGAAGAAGACGAGACGGAACTGATTCCGATTGGCAAGGGTCGACTACTGCCTTCGATATCAAAATGTGAACCACTTCACTCGGATAACTTTGGCTCCAGGAAAGAATGATTTACTCAACCACGAAAAATTTCAGTCAAATTGAAATTGCACTGGGCTCTGTACAATGAAGTGGAACCATTTGAATATCCGTTAAAAAAACCTTTCACATTTTTCCTTCTGAGTAAAGCACAAATTAAATAATTCCCAAGATCGTTTTCCTACCCATCTCGGCATTGGTCAAATAATTCACCGGATTTTTGATGTGCAAACAAGAGGCTGTTACTTAATTTTTTTATTGACTGACGCTTCGGCGGATTTGGTCTTCTTCAGAGCCTGGAAGAAAAAGTGGAAAAGTCAACCGCTGTTATCTTGACCATTCCCAGCTCGAAAGAAGGCGAAATCCGCCGAAACGTCAACTTATTCGTCAACAAAGAATTAAATAAACAGCCTCGTGTTTGCTCAACAAGAATACAGACAATTTAAACAGTTACTTATAAGACGGCAGCTATTCATCACCCTTGAAGAAGGAAAACCTCGAGTCTAGGAAAAGCATTAGTAATGCTTCTCTAGGGAGAAATGTGGACAGCTCAAGCGAAAAGAGACGACAAGTCGATTCCATCGATTTTCTCCTATTTTCTATTTCCTTTTATACCACTTTCCATTAAAGGTTTCTATCATAGTATACTACATAGCACACGAACGCATGTATTTTGTGGTTTAAGTTTATTTCTATAAAAGCACAACGGATAAAGGTTGAAGCCGGAGTGTATAACAACACGTAAAGTTACAAGATACCGCGTTTCCAAGACAGAGGGTAGTTTCTGAAATATTCCATTCATCTGTATAAGCACTAACACATGCCCAGAATCAGTTCAACTTCAGTGTTAACACTAAACCAATCATCGCTGGTCGGCTCGCGATCCAATTATGTCATCGCCTACGACGCAGATAAATAATCTATGAGGTGCAGCGAGATTGACATGCATATAGTCGTGGTTCGAAGACGACGAAAACGCCTGCTGACGATTCTCTTCGACAAAAACCTCGTAAAGTGTCTGTTTGAGAAATCTGGCCAGTCATTCAATATGAACATCGCAAGAACTTCAACAAAATACCACACGAGGAGAAGCGATACTGCAACGTTTGAATCTCTCCAAGTGACCCCAGGAAATGCTCGATGTTTGATGCAGTACAGCTCCGTACTGACGAGGAGCGCGAAGCTAACTCTACATTAGTAGGCTATAATATAGAGTTGGTATTCATATTTAAAAAAGACCTGCTACGACACTTTCCTTCGGAGTTGTGTCAGCGGAATACAAAGCGATATCCTGAAATCAGATAATTGAATAATTTCAAGTACACAAATACAAATTCCAGACTAGTGCAATGATCTGTAAAGGTAACGTAAATTTGATATTCGGAGCATTTGCTCAATAAAATAAAAGCTTAAAGCTATCGGCGTTGATCAATCCCTGAAGGATGCAATGTATCATGCATTCGAGTTCACTGAGCATCGTAAGTGGTGACTAGATGGGTATCTGACCCATACAGCGAAATGTGGTGGCTCACCGATGTATCAATTCAGTGCTACGTCCTCGTGGAGAAGTCCGACATTAAGCTCACCCCGGTCAGATGGAAAGCTTAACGGATCCGAGGCATAGAGTCGAACCAGCGACCAATCCAGTGTCTGTAGCAGGGCATCTCTAACCTCTGGGCTACATGCTCCCCTCGCTTTTTTCACTGCTTGATAAAATCTCAAATAGAGAAGGAAGAAAATCAAGTATATATTGACGTCAACGGTGGACGTCACTTGATAAATAGAGAAGGCATGGATTATGGCAAAATCGGAAACAAATCGTTATACAATGTATCTCAAGGAAAGGAAAACAGCTGGCATGAGAGATAATTGCATAAATATTAGCATGTAAATGAGTCTTGTAGTGCAGTGGTTAGTAAGGAGTTTATTGCAGTAATCATATCGTTGTTGGTTTGATCCAATCCCGCACTAACGAAGCCTCACATCTCTCATAGGTAGGCAAGATGGTACAAGAGCGATCTGCTAGGATAAAAACACCAACTTGATACATCGACAGTCTCTCACAAGTCATTGTGTAAATCAAACATGCATTCAATAAGCTCCACGATGTTTAACTCTTTCGCGAAAAGTATTTCAGAATTTTAGAATATCACAGATTTGTGGAAGAGACTTTGCTCTATCGCACTAACTTTTTCTATTGTGTTTAAACAGTGTTCTTTAAGGTATAACTCATATTTAGCTCATAATTCATATATATTCGCAACATACCCTGCCATTAAAAAGAAAAAAAGAAAAAGGCAGTAAATAAAAGGGTTAAGATTCTGATTATAACTAGGCCTCAACTTAACTGGGTTCAATGCCGATTTGGGCCCCCCAGATCAATCCCGTTGACGGGTGATTGCTGATGGCAAAAAGATCGATAGAACTAGCTGAGAGACAGGCAAAACGAAGGACCCGGATGGTGTGGTGGTGAAGTGCGCTGCTCCCCGGTAAGGACAACAGCCCGTGCTCGTTCCCCATCGCATACACCCGCGGTCCGGAGTTTTGCAAATTTCTCAGCATTATAGACCAGTTATATTTCGCAACACACCCTGCCATTAAAAAGAAAAAGGCAGTAAGTAAAAGGGTTAAGATAGTGTTCTTTCAAATCCAAATATTTAGAACAATGATATCGATGGACTGGAAAATGAAATTTAGGAGTTTCAGGATCTCCAACACAAGAACATCAACTGCAAAGATGAACAATGGAAGGAGCACCATCTCCTTCTAAAGAAATATATGCCGCGGGCTCCCGAAAATCCGCACTTCATCACGGAGAACTAGAGAACACTTGCCTTGTGGGTAAAGATTTATAGAACTTCACACTTCTTATTGCATTCAGCAAACGTCATTACGAGCCCGAGATATTTTGTTTTAAAGTCGAAAACGGCAATTATTTTCCCACTTTATGACTCATATAGAGATCATTTCGTCGCGTAAGTGTCAAAGGATTAGAACCCTCGATGCATCTTCAACTCTTTCACGATTACCCCTAATTTTGCAAGAACTGCGCACAGGCCCACGCTACATTTCCGGTCGTTCCACTTTTTTGACAAGTTTTCGATATCAAGAAGACTTCATGGTTTGGGGACATGACGCAGTTATTATTTCTAATGATTTCTACACCGACTTTCTATTAGCCTCTGCATTGGTCAAATAGTTCTCGATATTCTCACCGTGGAAACACGAGGTATTACCTTATTCCTTATTCCGGTAAAGCTGACGTTCCGATAGTCTCGCCTTTTTCAGAGCCTGGAAGGGCATATTGATATGCAATTTACTTCGCCAGGCGCTTCAATAACACAAGCAGACGGATGAAAATCTTAATGGCAATCAACAGCTTCTCGAAAAATCCACCGTTTTTTTTTAACTGCCTTCCACTGAGGAAGAGCAGCTGATCAGAGTCTTATATGGTTGATGACTGCACGACTTTACACCAAAAGTCGATGTGAAGGTACGGCGCGAGATCACGTGTGATCTCTGGGCATTCCTCTCTACCATCCTTTCCAGGGTTTCTGGAATTTATCTGAAAGCCTCAAGAAGTTTGCGCGTTGGTGTTTTGGCATCCGGTGCGAGGATAGTGCTGTTGTGTCAGTTTCGGCTCCTTTATATTGAAGGTCTACTGGAATAACGAATAAAGTAACACCTCGTGTTTGCTCAACAAGAATATGGAGAATGCTTCTATTCAATATGTGTTAACATGGTCCATCATGAAAACACATTGCTGTCAGCAATTGAAAGTGTTCTTCAGGTTACTTTGGGTCGATACCTTCCTATTTCTATCTTTTTTCCTTTATTCTCAACTTTCTGCACTTGAAAATTTTTTAAGGTTGCACATTCTATGCAACAAACATGCTTTATTGTAGTACTTCCAATTGAAAAAAGAGTCAATTGTTAATCAAATTATTGGTTAATGAAGCGCTAGAGGGAAAGTTTTTTTGTATACTTCTAAGTGCAGTATAGAGCTTTCCTCATCCAACGCCCAATACAATGCTTACATTCGATAGGCTATCGATTAGTTGTAAAAAATTCAGTTTTGTGCGACTAAATAAATCAGCGAGACCTACGCATCGAAATCAATATGTACGGTCCGCAGATAAGGCTAATGCACATTTTGAATTGGACGCGCTTAATCGCGAAGGGCATAAGGGAGTCATCAACGCTGAACGCTTTATCTTTTCTTTTTCATTAACGTCACCTCGTTTTTATGGTTAAGTGCTACATTAGGTGCAACTTCATTGATATTAAAGTTTTAAATGCTAACAAAAATAAACCCAACCGGTTGAAACACATCACCTTTTCAAAAACGTCACGAGTACTTCCAAATCTCTCTAGTTCCGGAGTGTTGAATATTGGCCCATTTTTATATGCTTGCTCATCAAATACTTCATGCCTCTCTTAAACAAAATGAAGTGGTTAAAACGAAAAGAGCATAGTGCTACTAAGTTGAAGCGATTTCACCTGGTGGACACTCCGCAAGATCTTCCTTCTCGTCAGCGATCAACCCTTTCACAAAGTGTGGCCGTTCTCTGTGCAATTCACTGACATTCAGAGCGTTTGTCGTTTCAGGTATGGATTCCATTTGATCTAGACTAGATTTTCCGTTTCCACAGCTGTATCCAATTGGATCGTGATCGTTTCTAGGACACAATTCGGCAGAGTTAACACTATGCTCCACTGGTTTTACGGGTTGAGTAGTAATTTCACATTTACTTCGTGGTTCGGCCACATCGTTCATCTGGTTGGCCCTACTAATATACTCAAATTCCTTTTCAGCACATTGGATATCCCTCTCGTAATCGCCTAGGTGTCCTTGGTGAGTTCCATTCTCAAAGTCACCAAACATCTCCCTCTGTGGTGTAGAATCGCTAATCTTCTCTAGATTGTTTTTAAAGATTTCAGTGGATTCATTAGAGAATAGCATAGAAGTTGAGACATTTTCCTCTAAGTGAGATGGTTCTTCACGCACTCTCCCGATACTTATATCTTTCGTAGAGCTCTTGTAAGCTGGATATTCATCATCACTCTTTATTGCCAAGCGACTAGTACAGTCCACATGGTATACATTCTGTTGAGTGAACTGATTGGATTTCATTACACCGTGGAATGGGACAGAAGGATCGCTTTGCAATTCAGATCGTATCCCAAACTGATTATTGCTGCTAGAATTACGAAGTTCTTCTTGGATGATATCTTGAATGGTAGTTGGCTGAATAATATTAGGATTTGGTGAATCGAAGAGGGTCTCAGAGAATCTTTCAAGGTTTTGTGACATTGCATATGGAAGTGCATGAGCTTGGTAAACACCTTCCTTTTGCATGGCCGTCACTGTGATCCCGTTTATATGGCCGAGTTCCTGCTGTGTAGGTCCTATGGAATCCAAGGACACATCACCACTAATGCTTTCTAACTGCTTTATTTCATGGAGGTCCGTCATTTCAGCAATTTTAAGAGATTGAGCAAGGTCTTTGGAGGTAAACTGGAAAGGTACTTCCTCAAGAGCAAAGACTCTAGTATGCTTTTCCGGGACTACATGTTGAAGCGCATGCGTTCCATAATCACCTTCCTCTTGCATAGCCATCATTGTGACACTTTCCATATGATTGATCTCCACCTGTATAGGTCCAGTGGAATCCACTGGACCATCAACGATAGTGTTTTCTAAATTCTTAATTTTATAAAGATCGCTTAATTCAGTAAATTTGGAACGTTGATCAAGACCCTTTGTAGTGAACTGAACAGGTGCTTTGTCGAGACCAAATACTTTACCACGTTCTTCAGAGACTTCAGGTCGAAGTGCTCGTTTTCCACAATCACTTTCCTCCTGGGTAGCTATCATTGTAACTCTTTTTACATGATCAAGTTCTTCCTGAGTAAGTCCAGTGGCATCCACTGGAGCATCAGCGATAGTGTTTTCTAACCTCTTAATTTTATCGTGGTCATCCACCTCACCAAATTTGGAACGTTGACCAAGACCCTTTGTAGTGATTTTAACAGGTACAACCTCAAGAGAAAAGACTCTATCATGCCTTTCAGAGGCTGCAGGTTGAAGGGCATGGGTTCCGTAATCACTTTCCTCTTGCATAGCCATCATTGTAACTCTTTTTATATGATCAATTTCTTCCTGTGTAAGTCCAGTGGCATCCACTGGAGCATCAGCAATAGTGTTTTCTAACTTCTTAATTCTATCGTGGTCATCCACCTCACTAAATTCGAAGGCTTGACCAAGACCCTTTGTAGTGATTTTAACAGGTACATCCTCAAGAGAAAAGACTCTATCATGCCTTTCAGAGGCTGCAGGTTGAAGGGCATGGGTTCCGTAATCACTTTCCTCTTGCATAGCCATCATTGTAACTCTTTTTATATGATCAATTTCTTCCTGTGTAAGTCCAGTGGCATCCACTGGAGCATCANCAATAGTGTTTTCTAACTTCTTAATTCTATCGTGGTCATCCACCTCACTAAATTCGAAGGCTTGACCAAGACCCTTTGTAGTGATTTTAACAGGTACATCCTCAAGCGAAAAGACTCTATCATGCCTTTCAGAGGCTGCAGGTTGAAGAGCATGGGTTCCATAATAACTTTCCTCTTGCATAGCCATCATTGTGACTCTTTTTATATGATCAAGCTCTTCCTGTGTTAGTTCAACAGAGCAATATGAATGCTCTAAGCTGTGAGAGAATTCATTCTCAAGCTCTCTATGCATATTGTTTACCCCCGATGGGGTTTCAAGGTTCATAGTTGAAGCTCTCTGAAAGATTTCTTGCTGATTACTCTGGCCCTCATGGTTAAAAGGAAACTCTTTTTCCATAGATTCAGTGGAATAGATCGAAATCGTTTGAACACGTTGCTTACTGTTTGGGAGTTTCGACGGTAAATCCCAGCCAGCGTCCTCAGTGGGATAATTAAATTCCTCCTGGGCTACTTTGTCAGCGTGTTCTAACTCTTCAGCAGTTAATCCGCCTTGTGAATATTCACGAGCACCCTGGTGGATGCCTGGTGAGAATGTTTCTGGGGGGCTCATACAGGAATTTGGTGATAATTCGGGAGAGCTGCTGTCAATCTTCCTGGGTGAAATATCATTAACAGCTGATCCCATGAGAAGGGATTCTACGCGGCCCACCTTCTTCTCCGCTAATGTTGCAAACCTTTTTATGTGTTCGATTTCTCCATTGGTCAATTCAGCACCACAAAGCGGCTGAATGGCCAATGTTTTCCCTTCTTCGGAATCATTGGTTTTATACTCTTCAAGAGAAATAGTGTGTTCGTGAATCACTTCGTTATCGCCTTTTTCGATTTTGTTTTCCTCAGATGGCGATTTTGGAACCAAACTGAGCTTCTGGACGTCACGAACATGTGTTGGCTGCTTAATGAATAACTCCGTCATGATTCCCATCTTGTGTTCATCCCGGAGCGCTGACATAGTGTCAGATATTTCTTGACCACTTGGTATGATTGTATCTATTGCTACGTTCACATCTTCTAAAACATTTGGATCAGTTTTGATCTCTCGATCAATCTCGTTCCCAACTATGGATCCATGCTGTTCCACTTCTTTCGATGCGTCATTTACCTGAACATGGATATTAGAGGTGTCTTCTGCGTTCAAAACGGGTAACTGGATCGGCTCAGGTGAGTGCAAGGATTCCGTGCGAGACGTCAGTTGACGTGGAAGTGGCTTTCCAATCACGTATGGTATTCGTTGCTCGGCTTTCATAAGTACCCTCTGAATATGTTGACGCTCCGTCGGCGAAATGTTAGTCATGTCAGGTAGCATTTGCAATGCTGAAGAACTCCTAAAATACGGAACCACACATAGTTATTGTGATGACTAACAATGTAAGACACAAATATTGAAAGAACTTTAAACTCAGTTTTAACAGAAAAACGCATGATCTTCTGGAATTTGTTACTACGGAAGCTCGTCACAATATCTCATTCACTCTGTTAACACTTCAGCCTGTTTTATAGTTCATTAAACGCTGTAAAAGCTTTTAGTTTCGGTAGTTTTAGGTAGTCCCGAACAGCTTCATTTCCTTTTCTATACATTTTTTTCTATTAACGAATGACTATTCAAGGTCTCTTAAAAATACGTCCCATTAACCATCAATCTGAAACACTAACAAAAATGTGGTTTTCGAGAACGTTGTACCTCCTGGAAGGATCTGGTGACGTGTTTCGGTTAGACCTACTCAGCACTTCCATCACATGCTCAAGTTCGGACTGAGAGAGGCCTTCTAAGGCGTGTTCCGGAAGTTTAATAGGACTTTCCGTAGACGCCCGAGAATCGGCACCAGATGACCTGAAGAATATCTGAATACCACAATAGGTACACATAATTTTTGAAGATTAACTAAACAGCACCTCCTTAGTAGGTTCAGAATATCTCCACTTCTATCGTCAGAATGTCTTCTCGACTTGGCTTCGATTGAAGAAGTAGAAGGAAACGATATAAATGGATTCGATAACTTGGGACGATCAGAAATATTCGACTTCTTCGCGAAAAATGAGAACAAACCAAATAAGGGCACATCTCTCGGGGCTGGTTCGACTGTGAAACCGAACCTAAAAGAATTAGGAGTACGTTTAGCAATCAAACTGCAACGCATCGTTCATTTATTTCTTCGTCTGTTTTCAATTTCTTCCATTTGTTCATGAAGCAAAATGTTTATAATAATTCCTATGGTCGACTTTCTCACAATGAAGCCACACATTTTTGGCATATCTGGTTGAAAAGCAAATGTAACCATACTTAGTAGCAGTACGCAAACCATAGGTGACAATTCATTCTCATGGATGACGCTTGTCGGTGCAAACAATAAGGCCAGGAATTATCATGACCCACTTCCAGTCGGTTTCATGAAAGGCTGACCCAGTCGACAATCCACAAGTTCATTTCGTTCAGTATTTAAAAGCTTGGCAACTTGCAACGACACTGTCCCCGGACATTTGTTGTGCATATTCGCATTTAGCTAAACTGTTTTTGTAAATGGTGATTTTTTGGTTTTAATGTGTCGAACACTTCAAAGCATAGGATAGAATTGTTTTTAGAATCGTTCGAGACCTAAACGAGTCATGTATTTGCTACAAAATCCCACTTTTCACTTGCAATTTGCTTCTCCGAATATCGCTAGCGTAAATTACTCGACCTCTGTTTTCTTGAGAATTCGTTAATTAACAAACTGAGCGTAAACATAGAAAATCCCATTTACAGATATCTTTTTTCTATCACATATAGTGCAGATCTCTGCATTTCTCTCTCCGGATTCTTTTCGTCGCACAAGTCATACGTGACAGCGTTTGGATATGAGTGTAGATTTGGATGCTGCTTGGAGAGTTCGGTCTTCTCTATGAACATCGTTGAGCGCTGGTCCTCTCTGATATATTGGGAAAAGCACGCTATGATGTTCCAAGATTTTCACCCAGCCACATGCCTCTATAGATCGAAATGTTTTACAGACAAATCTCGTAGCAATTTCCCAACCCCAGATGGATACTTGATTTTCCTCAGCGAAGTCGGACTACAAGCTCTTGTGCGTATGGAATGGCCATCTCTAGCATAACACTACCTACGCCCTAATGCTGACAAACATAATATCGTTGGGAAAACTTTCAATCACAAAATTCATCTTATTGCCACTGTGGACATTTTTTCGTCGAGCAAGCGATGGATATTAGTTAATCGAATTTAAGGATAATTATGTAATCAAAAGCTTACATGAAAAAAATCTGACCACAAGTAATGGTAAGTTTCTACAGATCCGCAAAACCTGGGAACGAATATGAAAGGGAAAGTCAAGATTTCAAGGAAAATCGGCTCGACCAACATTAAATGACATTCATAAAGAAGGCCAAAATCCTCAAGCATTTGTCGAAACCACATACAAAATTAGCTTTGAGACCGTAACCTTTATGGGTACTGGATGCGGCAAACAGAAACGACTGCAAGAAGTGTTGGGATCCGAAAAATGTGATATGTGATATCGCGTAATTAAAAGAAATGAAATGATTTTATTGGTATGAAGCGACAACTAAGGGCTTATCATGAGAAAACGAAAACGTACTCGCTCTGCTGGTCATCGTCTAGACTTGACAACGACATCGAAAAATTGCTCAACGAATTAGCTTTGAAATAACGAGCACGTGGATTCAACTGATCTCGAAAATGAATTCTGAGTGCACGTCCGGCTTCTTCAGCAATATCTTCCGATATCCGATGAGCTGCGAAGTTAAGACGACACAAGAAATCCACATTGCATAGCAGATCTTTACTATCCGTGAAGCTATGTTGCTCGCAAAGCTCGTAGGCGTTGAGTCTAGCATGGTGTTCGAAACACGCCGCCGCGAAGCAGTTCGAACTCATTGAAGATCGAACAGGTTCAGCAGATAGTGCAACATCCTTTGCAACATCGCTTTGAGATCTTCGAATGACTTTTTCGTCATTTCCGGCACATGCATCGTGGTCAGCCAGTGCAGCAGTTTCTGGCCAGAGAGTGGAGAAGGCCTCAATATTTTCACTCATGGAGTCTTCAAAGAGATCGCCTGGTTCAGAAATGTTGTCCGTTTGCGAGGACTGAGATTCACGTAAAGAATGATCTGTATAAATAATTTGTACTTTGGGACGGCGCTGCACGCTAACTCCGTTTTTAGCAGTTAAAACTGGTTTGTAAGCACCAATATTGCTCAACTTTACGGTATCATGTCTTGCAGACAAGAATGAGTGTTCTACAGGAACCACGTGAACAGTGCTAGATGTATAACTGACAGAGGTACTCCTGCTCAAAATGGAAGGTTTATCGGAGCTACGCATAGCTATGCCTATTGACGATCTACGCATAAGACGCGGATTTCTGTGTTCATCACAGGTAAATTTCTTTTCTTCAGTAGTCCCCTTTTGAGACATTTCATGCACTTCTTTGCCATTGAGAAAATTCGAATCTACTAATTTAGAAGAGCAGCTTCTTCCTAAGTGAGATTCGAGCGAGCTGTCAATATCCTTAAACTTTGAAAATATTTTTTGTTCGGGATCTTTACACAACAAATAATCATGACGTTTCTCAGTATCAGTCGAGGAACCTCTACAAGGCTGCGGAGCTATGCTGTCACAGAAAATACCTCCTTCATTTTGAGAAACAAAATCAGGTCGTATCACTTGACCAACTACAGATGATGGTTCGGATTTCACCTTGATTTCAAATAGATCTGGCAGAGAATTGAGGCCCGTTGACACTTGGAACAACGACGAGGTTGGCCCATCGTTCTTAGCGGTTGACAGGATTGCTTGAGTTCTTTCTACAGCAGCAGTTCGGAGAGCATCCATGGACTTATGTTCCAAAGATTCCTCAGCTAGGCGCCGAATTAAAGCAAAGTGATCTAGCTCTTCCAGAGTTAATACATAACGCTCGGCAACTTCATCAGGTGGCGATGCTTCCAGCTGGTCAATACTTTGTGAAGGTAATGGAGGTCTGCATGGTGGTTCTCGTTTGTACACAATAGTTTCGACGACGAATGGTTCACCAGCCCGTGTTGACGAAGGGAGATTCCGATCTTCCTCTAGTGGAGAGGAAATTTCGTGTTGATATTCTAGCAATGGAGAAGACCTTTCATACAGAACCACCTCCTCAGATGGTGACTCTTGTTCTGTTGAAGTCCCTTGATCGGCTCCCGAAGTCGGTTCAGATTCTTCCTTGGATTGGTCTCCCTCCGGCACTGCATTAACGCTTCGTAAAACATGGATTGAAGATGACATTGGTACGTCTTCCTCTGCGATCATCAATCCTTCTCGCACGTCCTCAATCACAGCAGCTGGAAGAGCATCGATGGGCTTCGCTTCCAAGGTTTCTTCCGCCAGACGTTGAATCCAAGCAATGTGATCTACTTCTTCCTGAGTTAATACATAACCGTCTGCAACTTCATCGGGTTTCCCAAGAGGGAATGCTTCCATTTGGTAATTACTTTGCGAAGGTAAT